GCAGCAAGCCATCCCCTCATTTGTTTTGGAATTCCTCTTGCCACTTATCTCGCCAACCCAACAAGAAAACATACCATTGACCCATTGTTCTTAAAGCCTTTACTGCAACACAACCAAATATCGATATTGGCTGTCACTATTACTCATTATCGGTCAATTGTCTGGCTTTTTAGTTCAGCTCCCACAAGGTATGCTTCATATTCTCTGAACATCCAATTTCTCTAATCATGGAATAACTTAACTGTGTTTTTGTGGCACAATTCTGCTTTCTAAGATTAGCACTTTGATCGCTACAAATCATCTTTGGCACACAACCACTTACCACTCATGTTTCTTCAATTCACATTTACTTTTCACCTTTCTCTATCAGCACGCAAAATATATGATCTCTTTATGTTTTAATGCTCATAAGACATTTTGTTGTTTCACGCTTTGGGGTTCGGTTCCACCAAACAACATGTTTCTCCCACTCACAAAGCAAGCCCGCTTTGGTAGCCAAATGGCACATGCTCAAGTCGTAATGTTCTACTTATAACACAATATTTTACTTTCGCTATTCCAAGATTGGAAAGACTCATCGTCGTAACTTTCATCGCTCAGTCTTTTATGTCTAGCCTTCTTAACTTGCTCTCTAACACCCACTCGTAGATACACTCAGCGCTCTTTCCCTTTGAGAGAGCCCTCTTGAGCGGTACCATGTCTTTTGACCCAAGCGCACGTGGACGTGGCCGCGGTGGTCGCGGCGGCGGAGATCGAGGTGGACAAGGAGGAGGTGGTGGTGGTGGTGGTGGAAGAGGGGGTGGAGATCGAGGTGGTGGTGGTGGAAGAGGAGGTGGAGATCGAGGTGGTGGTGGTGGAAGAGGAGGTGGAGATCGTGGTGGAAGAGGAGGTGGTGGTGGTGGAAGAGGAGGTGGTTATGATGGGGGAAGAGGAGGTGGAGATCGTGGTGGGCGAGGTGGTGGTTATGATGGTGGAAATCGTGGTAATTATGGTAGCCGTGGTGGAGGCCGTGGTGGAGGTCGAGGTGGCCCGGTATCCATTTTCAAGTAAGGTGCTTGCATTGTACTCCGAGCATTGATCTAACACGTTCTACAGGGATCCTAATTATCCAGCGGAAGCCCCTGATGCAAAAGTCGCGAGAATGGAAGATGACTACCATAAGAGCTCATCCGGGATCACTGCCTTGGATAAGATGTCGCTCAACCAAAGATTTCCAGCTCGCCCAGGATACGGCGAGAGTGGTCGAAAAGTTCAGCTGTATGCTAATTATTTTGCATTAAATACAAGCCCCAATTTTGCTTTGGGGCGTTACCCGGTTACTATATCCCCGAGCATGGACGACAAAAAAAAGAAACGGGAGCAGCTTTTCAACCTCATCCTCGAGTTGCCAGAATTTGCAAACATTCCTCTTGCCACTGATTATGCTTCCATGATCGTCACACCGAACAAATTGCCCTTCAAAGAGGAACGTGTTTTCAGCATTCCTTGGCGAAACGAAGGGGAAGACGATTCACTTGCAAATGCCCAAATTTACAAGGTTCGGATCGGCTCTCCAACGTCTTACACTATTCCCGATCTTGTACAAAGCTTAGGAAATATTTCTGCGGCTAATGTACCAGAGGTGCAAAGAGAGGAAGCTATCCAGGCCATGAATACGGTGATGGGATTCTTCGCCAAGAGCCAGAAAGGAACTGTTTCTATTGCAAATAATAGACACTTCTCCACAGCTCTAGCTGGCAACCAGCATAATTTCACGACCCTGAATTATGGATTGGAGGCTATACGCGGCTTTTATCAGAGTGTTAGACCAGCTACTGGTCGACTTTTATTGAACGTAAACGTCACTCACTCCGTTTTCCTCGAGCGGGGGCCATTGAACATTTTCTTTCAAAGACTTGGTCATGCCAATAGTGTTGTGGATAAGATAAAGAGAAAGCGGGTAGAAGTCACTCACTTGGCTGCAAAAAAGCCCAAGTCCGGTATCGTCATTCCCCGAGAAAAGACGATTTGGGACTTGGCTCGCCCAAGTGATGGTAGAACCGAAGAGCATCCCCCACAGATTGCTAGATATGGCGCTGGGCCAAAAGAAGTCAAGTTTTGGATTTCCGCCGAACAATCATCAGCGAAAGCGAAAATTCCACCTAAATCCGGATCAAAGCAGGGCTCTTCTAAGCCAGCCGCAACAATCAACAAATACATTACCGTGTATGATTATTTCAAATCCAGATATCCGAACGTTGTTTTGGATCCGAAATTTCCTGTAGTCAATGTCGGCAACGACCTCAACCCGTCCTACCTGCCGGTGGAGGTCTGTATCATAAAGCCAGGTCAGATTGTGAAGAAGTCTTTACTTGGAGATCAAACTCGTTTGATGTTGGATTTCGCAAATAGAAGGCCAGAGCCGAACGCCATGTCTATTATCACTTCCGGTAAACAAGTTTTGGGCTTGAACAATAAAGAAAATCCTCTTCTCTCTAAGTTTGGTGTCCAGGTTGGTAACAGCCTTATAACCGTTCAAGGTCGTGTGTTGCCACCACCCGTGATCAATTACAAGAACAGACAACATCGCCCAATGACAAAGACACCCATGGATGGTTCTTGGAATATGAGGGACACTCGTTTCCATACTTGCGGAGATCTAGGTAACTGGACTTACATGGTGGTTGAATCCGACAAACGTGGTGCCAGATGGAACCACAACGATGCGGCCGATACAGTTGAGCAATTTAGGGCCCACCTTCAGGGTGCAGGAATTGGAGTCCAAGGTTGGATGGGTAGACCCGCGCCTTCCCCTAAGCATATAGATGGCAACGAGACAGCTACGTCTGCCGATATTGAACGAGTTTTCCGACTGATGTCTACATCTTCAAACCTAAAGAAACCCAAGTTTCTTCTATGCATCCTTCCAGTGGATGATGTAATGCTTTATAACACGATAAAGCGGTTTGGAGATACCAGAGCCGGCATACATACAGTTTGCGTACAACACTCCAAGTTTACAAAGGGGGACCCGCAATACTTCGGTAATGTCGCATTGAAATTCAATCTCAAGGCTGGCGGTATCAATCAGACAATCGACAAGCTTGGAATCATCAACGAAGGGAAGACAATGGTTGTTGGGATTGATGTAACACATCCATCCCCTGGATCAAAAGACACAGCACCAAGTGTTGCCGCCATGGTGACAAGCACCGATAAGCTGTTGGGTCAATGGTCCGGTATCTGCCGTTTACAAGGCCAAGCTCGTCAAGAGCCGGTATCAGAGCTCGAACCTATGTTCATTAGGCAATTGGACATCTGGCAGAGAAAGAATAAAACATTGCCTGAAAATGTTCTGATCTATAGAGATGGTGTATCGGAGGGGCAATACAACATATTGCTTGAACAAGAACTTCCAAAAATCAGGAATGCTTGTCGTCAGAAGTATCCCGCAGATTATACCAAAAGAAGCCTGCCACGAATCTCGATTATAGTTTGCGGTAAGCGTCACCACACGCGGTTTTACCCAAAGGATCCTGACAGTGCAGACTCTAAGTCGAACTGTCCAGCCGGAACTGTAGTCGATCGTGGTGTTACCGAATCTCGCAACTGGGACTTTTTTCTTCAACCGCATCAAAGTCTTATGGGAACGGCCAGACCTTGCCATTATTTTGTCATTCAAGACGAAATATTCAAGTCTCAGAAAGTCAAAGCTCCTCACAAGACTTCAGCCGATTCTCTTGAAGAATTGACGCACAACATGTGCCACTTGTTCGGGAGAGCTACGAAGGCTGTAAGTCTATGCCCGCCTGCATATTACGCAGACTTGCTGTGCACTCGCATGAGAGCATATCTTGCAGATCAGTATGATCCTCCAACAGGTCGAACTACACCAGAGCCTGGAAATCCTTCAACACCGTCAACGAGTGCGATAGGTCAAGGCAGAATTAGTATCCACCAAGATATTACAGAGTCGATGTTTTGGATCTAAACATTTTGATTTGTTCCCGGGCAGATCACTTATCTGTTTCATGGATGATCCGGTCGTATCCTTAGATTTCCAGGTCACTGAATCCCGAAAGCCTCAGTGCGTAGGCAAGCAGACGCCAATTTTCAACATCTCCATTTGTCGAGGCATTTTTCAACCATGTCGATTGTTTGTTGAGAGCGAAAGATACTTTCCTTTTTCCGTTCACTATTCACTCATTTGATTATTTCAGAAACTCCTGCATTTCAGTAGATCACAGTAATTTTTTCAAGTTGCGTTTCCAATTTGGGTGTGCAATAACCTCAGCTTAAAAAACAGTATTGAAGTACAAACACAGACCTTTTTCATACTGCAAATTGGCCTATCGTGACATATTATAATAGGTGTGAAATCTCGATCAAATGAGTTTTACATATCGTACGTAGCACACAGCTAGAAGTCTAACAGACTGTCAATTATGTTCCTATATCTTTGAAATAAAGAGGAGATTGAATGAAATGAGAGGTTTCAGCCTCCCTACTCTTTTAGATACTTTGTCGAATCATGATGCTAAGCGAACAACGCCCTATTTTTCTTTTTAGGGACAACTAGATATCTCTACAAAAATGAAAAAAGGGATGAAAATACCGAAAAAGTAATGCGTCACTACATATCTCTTATTTTTCTCTTCTCTATAAAGGCTGAAGTTGCCAAGAGCTTGGATAAACTAATCGAGGCATGGATTCGTCAGCTTTACTCAAGGGGAGAATATTGGGGAGGTTCTATTTATGGAAGGGGTTGGTGATGAAATTTTCCTCTTACGGTTGATTTTATTTGGTTAGGTTCTGTTTGTTTTGATGCTCGCCATACTAGAGGCTTGAGAATCCTGTTGACTTGCGTGGAGAGCTACACCTTGTGTCGTTGTATAGATGTGAAAATATCGTGAGATGCTTGCTCTCTGATCCTGATCGATTTCAGATCCGCACTTATCGCATGTAGGTTCTCCTCTATCGCTCGATTAAAGCAATCCTAACCATAGCTCAATACGTCCAGCATGCGCCACTTTATCTCATTCTTCTTCGGCTTTCTTTCTTTCCTCCCTGTCCTTACTCAAGCATGCCTCGTCTACTACGCAACCTTCCCCTTCGATAACGATAAACCGTTTGTAGGGAAGATAATCGATAATGGGATTGAGACGTGCTCGATTAATATGACGTACAATGAACATTGGAGATGGCAGGCGTTGGAGAATGAAAAGGATTGGGAGAGGGAGGAGTGGGCTGTGAGTTTCTCTTCTTGTTTTTGGATTTCGGGTTGAGAGTCTGGGGTGGGAAGGTTTGGGGATGATTAGAGGAGAGAGGATGTGAAGAGGGAGGGACGATGGAGGTAGGTGGATGAGGAGAGGGCGGAGAGATGGAAATGGTGGATTTTGAGAAATACCAGGAGAATGATACTAATACCCGCAAACAAAATAGTGGAAACACTGGCATTTCACATGCACGAAGAAACTATGGCAGGGGAAACTGAAGGGTAATAACACAGTACGTCATCTTCTTCTCTCACTCAAATCTCAAACAAACACATTTTCCAAAACGAAACTCGCTAATACCCGAAAACAGGACCGCACATACGCAGCAGAACTCGGCGTCGGTCTCCGCGGCGTAACATACCATGCGCATGGCGAGAAATTCTGGTTCAACCCGGATACGGTGGAGGATGTGGCGGGGGAAAGATGGGTTTATAGTAAGAAGTTGTGGTGTGCTGGGAAATAGGTTGAGGATGTACGTGGTAAGATTATTAGGGCGGGATTGAAGGGTTGGTTTATGGGATTTGTGAAAGATGGGGTGGTCTGATGGGTTGCTTGTGAAGAGAGTGTGGGGAATATATGGGATGTTGAGAGAGGAGCTGAGTTTCTCTACTTTTTCCTGGAGTAGAGTAACCGCCAGTGTGCAAGGAGTAAAGGCCGTGGATTATCTCTTTACAATGTCTATCAGTTCGCGGATCTATGAAACATTTTTTCTAAAATTTGAAAAAATTCATAACTTCTTATACTACAGACGATTCCTGTTCACATTTCACGTTCTGAATATCTTAAAATTCATGCAGAAACATTTTGAGGCCAATTTTGAAGCCATTGTATGAGACTATATTGCCGTTATTGATATGTGAGCTAAAATGCTAATATTATCCTGCTCAATTCTGTTTTGCACCGCGAACATACGAGTGCCATATCCTCCTATCTTCTTTTGTAAAAATGAAGTATCTGGGAAAACCTTCTGTGTTTAGCTCAACCCTGTTTGAGATTTCCCTCTCGTTCCCCCTGAGCTGAAACCTCCTCTGCAGCCTCTTGCTTTGATCTTACGTCAAATTTCTGCATCCAAATGTCCACCCGCCATTCGTTGATCGCTGCTTGCTCCTCTTTTCCCTGCCTGTATACGTTTAAAAGCGATTCAACGAGCTATACATGGCTTCATCAAAAGCCTCCTCTTCTTCTCATTTCTTGCGTTTCACGATCTTCTTCTCTAGCTCCGGGTCGCGGGCAAACTCAGCAAATTCGACCTCATAACTCAATGGCCCGTGATTAGCAATAAATCTGTCCATTTTATTCGCAATTCGGTCCATTAAACTGCCTGGGCGTAAATCATTCATAGTCATGCGCTGTAAGCAGCGCTTATGAGGTATTTTCTGCTCAATGCATATTTCACCCCTTTCGATTATCTTCAAATGCGTCACTTGTGGGCAGATCTCAGCGAATCTTTTCCATACGTTAACAGAATCATCTATCAATCCCCATAATGTAAGTTCGTCAATACCCTAGACAATCATATTAGTTCAGTGCTAGTAGGTAGCGGGTTTGCGGCTCATACAGAACCGAATCATGGCATACTAACAAGGGTTTTGACTGGAAGTAATAAATCTTTGTAAGCTTGCCTAACACAAGGGAGACTGCTCCACAGGTAGCTCTCATTCATTACCGAATGGCAAAACATGTAAGACAGTTGAAGTACGTCACGCTCATAGTCGATCCATGCCTCAAAGTCTAATTCCAAGCAACGCAGATCCATCTTGGCCATGCCAGATCCATCTGGATTCTTGAAAGTAGAGTATCTCCTTGAACAGGCCGCTCTTGATTCTTGACATACTTGAGAGAGAAGAGGGGCGTTGGAAAAGGTAGGCGAGGCAGAGACAACCTCAGAAGTTGAGTTACGGTCGACAGCGTAATCCCAAATCATATCACGAACCTCTTGAGGAAGTTTAGGGAATCGATGGAATACTGGCTCCTCTGTCGCAAAAATATACCTGTGTGGATTGTCGATTCCGGTTTCCGGAGATGGACTTGGATCATTCTTTTCTACCTCTATACAAGTGATCATTAGTATTCTGATCAAGAGTAGAAAGTAAATGGCATTACTTACTCGCAATACTCGCAACATCCTTGAAGTCCATCTTGAGTTTTGACTTGGTTTTGTGATGTCGGAAGAGGGTTTACGGAGATGGCATTTTGGGGAAATGGAAAAGTGTGGGGGTTAAAAAGAAGTCTGAGTTAGTGTGATTACTAAATTCGAGGAAGACCGACTAGCGCACCTGATTTATTCGTGCCAGAACACATGCTTTCATTGCTTTGTTTTTATAGCATAAATTCCTCTCTCTACGTGATGCGCTAAGGTATCAAGGTCAAGTTTGATACTAGTCAGAGCCATGGACCGCGTGTTGAGCTTGAAAGAGCTATCAAGTGGTTTTCTAGCTTCTGGTAGCATTCAAGATTACGATTCTTCAATGTTGATTGAGTCTCAAAAGGCTGACAGAGCAGACTTTTGAAATTGTACACACCTCACACTCACTCATCATGCCGCATCTCTGATACTTCTCACAAAAGTTGTCGCACCAGAGGCATGATATCCTTCCATACTTCACTTCACTTTCGCTTCACTCCTCTCTCCTCTACAGCAGCCCCGCACAAAGGATACACCCCAAAATTCTATCATAACCAAAAACTCCAAAAGATTAATCAGTTGGTACACACAACATGAATTAATCCAAATCAGACGAACTGAGTTCTTCAAGTGACAAAGTCTTCGGGCGTGAAGCAGAGGTCCCGTTTGAGGGGATGTGAAAGACCCAATGTGTTTATACCACTGAGCCATCTGGACATTGTTTCTTGGTGAAGGTCGTTGCAGTTTTTGGATTCATATAGATGGGTGGCTATGCGAGATAGTTAGTTGGGATAATGAGCAAGGTACGAAGGAGGATCATTTGCTGTTGGGTCCCGGACAAGATTCGAAAGATGAAATGAATGATTGTCAAGTGACAGTTGGATCTTTAGATATCAATGCGTCACAGAATCTGCAGCAATCTCCTCGAGATGAAGGTAAGTGAATGACTACTACACACTCAGATATCAAATCCCTCATTTCACTTTACTCACTATCACCAGATGATCCACTTCATATATTACTCCGCTTCTACAAAATTCAAGTGAATACCACCATCCAATCCAATTTCACGATCTTCGAATGGCTGTACCAAACAAACGCGGCTGGTTTCTATTTAAACCGCACCACAAAGCTCTTCTCAAAGATTCTTCCACCTCCATCTCGAATCTCGAGAAGTTCAATAAAGTCTTCATACATACCACCAGTCTTTGCCAAGTAACCTCTCGAATACAAAAATTCACCCACCACCACATCCCAACACCCCATCTCAACCATGTCAACCACCCTCTACCCGCCCGTTGCCGCCCCCTCAACCGACCAACAATTTCTCATATCCGCCGGTGTCCGCGTCCTCGAATCCCAATACCACACTCTCGATTTCGCACCCCAATTTCTCTCTATCTACGGCCGACCAACCCTCGTCTACCGTCCCTGGGCACGTCTCTGGTTGATCCCCTGCACCCACATTCTCGAAGCCATCACACCACGCTATCCCTCTCACACCGCTGTATTTCTCAAATTTGCAGCGTATAAAGACCGGTATTTGGAGTTTTGCTTGGAGGTGGATAATTATTATGGATGGTTGAGAATGAATAGGGATAAGAAGGGGAAGGGAAATGGGAATTCAAGGGAGGGGGCGAATAGCGAGAAAGAGGGTGCCACGATTATTGGAAGAGCGGAGATGGAGGGCGCGTGGTGTAAGCTTTTGATAGGCATGTTTGATGAGATGAGGTCGAAGAGGGATGTGATGAGGAATTTTGTTGGCTTGAGGAGTATGCTTGGCGAGGAGAGAATTCTTATGACGATCAAGGAGGTAGAAGCGGAGATGAAGGAAGTGTTGAGGTTTGCGGTGGAACAGGTATGTGCTTTTCGCTTTTTATTTGCATGATGGTCTGTGGAAGAAGACATAAAAAGAGGCGCATTAAGCTGGCGACTAATACTCTTGGCACCCCAGAGATTCGGTAAAGAAGTCGAGGAATACTGGGCTAGAAAGTGGAAGATCTACGGATATCGATGTCCAGAATTGGACGTTAAGGTATGTTCTTCCCATCTTTCAAATTTCACATTCCCTATCATTCCCTATTCTTATCCTTGGCCCCTTAAACCCTCACTAATCCCCATCTCCCATACCTAGTGCATAACCGACTGGTCCATCGAAGCACCCTTCCAAAAATCCCTCTTAAAACCCAACGACATCAACAACAACGACTACATCGAGACCGACGATGAAATCGCCGACGAGACATATACTGCAAGCGGCGACAATATCGACTCGGGTGTATCTCTACACAGTGGCGAATCTTCCCAAACGCAGATGACCCAAGAACCTACGCCGGAAATGAGTCAGGAGTCAGAGCTGGAACAGATAAAAGAGCAAAATGTAGAGGAAGAAGAGGAAGATGCGATACTAGAGAAATCTGATCCGGCATTAAACACAAAGCAAAATTTGAAGCGGGAGATGCGGGGAGAAGATTCAGATGCGATGCATGGACGATTGGCATTCAGGAATTAGATCCTAAGAACCGGGAATTAGAAAGCTGAGAGAAGAGGCAAATTCTAAGAAAGGAAATGAAATGAAAACGGGCGTTGAGGTGGGTGTCAAGGGCGCATTGGAGTTGAGTTGTTGACTGTGGATGTGGAGGTTGATTGTGGATGTGGTATTGGGCTATGGATGAGCATGAATAACGTATATGCAGATAGGATAGTTAGTTACCTCGCTTCCTCGGAAGACATCTAACACTGGATAGGAATAAATGCAATGAGAATACCTTTGCCATTAATTCAGATACACATCCGGATTATTTCTCTTTGACTCATCATCTTCCCCCTCTTCCTTAATGTGATTACTTCACTTGCGAGTATTACTTCCACAACAATCATCCACACAAAGATGAATAGATAGATATAAAGTATATTTCCTGATTTGCTTTCCTAAGCTATGTACTCCTCCTTTCCTGTTCCCCATTCCCTGCTCCCCCATCCTACCTAATCTCCCAGCTCCATCCTATCCAACCAACCAACTACCCATAACACCTCCTCAATATCCCCAACCCAATCCAACTCCCATCCATCCACTATGCACCACAGAAGGAGAAACAAAACATAACAAAACAAGAAGAGAAGAATACATGAGTTGTGAATACATGCTAAATTTATAAAATCCACCTCATCCCTTCCCATCCCATTCCTATCCCACAAAACGCCTAAAACCAAAACAGACTATCCCTCAAACACCAATCCATGATGCAACCGCGAAAATGAAAAAAAACCAATGGATCAAAACACGCCACCTATCCAATCCCATCAATGATATCGGTCCATGCACCATGATTCCCTTCCATTTATCTACCTTCCAGTTACTGCACCAAAAACACCGTCCGGGTAGCAAGCAAGCAAAGCAAGTAGTAAGTAAGTGAGCCCCCTTCACTGATACAATTGGTCCCATCCATTCATCCGTTTATACTCCCGCGCAAGGATAAGAAGGAGAAAGAGGAAAGAAAAGGAAATCAAACAGAATTATTCCCATCTCCCTTCAATCTCCACCGCCTTTGCTCCTGCGACTCTCCTTGCGCTCCCGCTTCCTGCACCATATAGCATCTCCATCAACTTCCCCTTTTGCGTTTCCCTAACCTTTCCTAAATATCCACTCGCGTCTTCTAGACCTTGAATTTGCTCTTCAACTCGAATCGTGCTGCTATTTGTCCTTACGAGCGGACTAACTAACTTTTTCCTTAGATAATCTAGATTTGCTCGTAATGTTAACAATTTGCCGTTGTGATCGAGAAGGACAGATTTGTTTTGAATAGTCTTAGAACGGATATTGGCGAGAAGCTTTTTATTCTTCTCGAATTTGTGAAGGGTACTGGAGGAGGGACCAAGAAGTTTGGTCCAGAGTGAAGAGAGAAGTTTATCTTCGTCCATTTCTTGGGTATCTAGCTCGCGAGATGCGCTACGAGATAATGCTTTGAATTGATGATCGATCTTTTCAAAGATGGCAAAGAGATGGAGAGCGTGGTTAAGCTCAGAGCTAATAGCCTCTTCGAGCACTGATAGAAATTCGTTGAATGTTCTCTGAAGTGTTTGACGTGTTCTTTGAGGCGATGACATGCCGAATATATTCGTTGCGACAACGCCAATTTTGGTCGGTGTCCCAGTAGGAGTTTCGAAAACTCCTACTCGACTCAGAAGTGTGTGTATATTATCAAACGCTGAATTAAGGGGAGATGGCGGCAGATGATTCAGTTGAGCAAGTTCTCGTTTCGCCCAATCCATAACGATCAAGATACTAGATATGTCAGATGATTTCAAGCAACAGAAGTAGAAAGTATTACCCATCCACATCTCCGTCAACATTGGCAAAGAATCTGGTTAACTCAACAGACAAAGTTTTGAGGGTTTCACTCAGTTCATCGAGTTCCGCAACAATGACAGGCGCAGAAGTCATATTTGTTGAGCGTACACTCTCACCAAGATCCCAGACCGCAATACCAGTCTGCTGTATATCGCCGATTTGTTGAATCCCATTTTCTGAATAGAATATTAGAGGTTCAAAAGCTCTTGCAAGTCCCGCGACCTTGATAAGATCCGGGACTGGTGGTAGTTGTGAGGGTTGAAATAGTGTTCGTAATGTCAAAATGGAAATAATCGCTATCACAAGCGCACTGCACACGGAAGCCCATGAACTCATGATCTTCTCAAACTTTAAACTCATAGATGAAAATGCAGCTTCAAACGGTTCTGTACGATGTTGTACTTCGGTTTTAAATGCGAATCGAATAACTTTTTATACATCAGCATATGAACCAATACATTTACTCCAAGTTTCATACAGTTGTTGGGGTTCTCCATCGAAGGTACCAAAGCGCCTTCGTGGCCATCCTCCTGTTTAACTACCGCGCCAAACGTCTTTCCAAAATCTTCATTTCCCGAAGGATATGGACCCGGAGAGGGGCTTCTCTTCTTTTCCGGTGATATTGAACCGGTTGGTAATCTGGTTCTTACCGCCGCGGCAAGAGTCGGATCAGATCCACCTCCCTCATCAGCACTCTCATATTCCGGACTACTTTCTCTAGAAAGTTCCCTGTGCCTCTTTCCCAATATATTACTATGCCGATTCCAAAAGCCGCTGCTTCGGTTGCCGTTTTCCTCTCGTCTCCATGCTGGCGGACTGTAGCCACCTCTGGATACCGAGTCTCTTAGGTCGTCCTCCGAGTCCGTGTCGCTGCGGAAGCCCGAATGCTGGGAAGGATAACCAAAACGGCGAGGCGGGTTGTGATCTATCTCTATGTTTCCTTGTTCGAAGTCCTGCAGAGATGCGTTTAACGAGGGGTGGTCGTCGAACATTCCTTCTAGCTCCTCTATCGTAGTGCCCATGATTTCTATTATTCTTCACGATGTCTGTTGATGCGCTCCAACTTGGTATGGGAAGGGCTTTAGTCTGTATGAGATAAAGATATGCGAACGATATGATTATGACAATCAAGAAGGTACTAGGCGCGATATTTAGGTTGATCAGTGTAAAATGGACTTGGTTTTGGATAGTAAATATGGACATATCAATCCAAAAACACGTCTGCCTTGAGTAGCTGTTTACAGTCGCGTGAACTTTGTGAATTTATGACTTTAATTCATACAAGTATGCGACTGTTATTCTTTTCGATATATGAATGCGCCAATGATGGATTGAAAGTTATGTTGGTTTTATCTGGATGTGACTGAACTGATAGCGATGCGATAATGGATAAGTGGGTGGGTTGGAAGAAGTGAATCGCGGATATGATACTAAAGTGGGCTTGGTGGTAATGGGTGGTGGGTGGGTAGTGGGTGGTAGACTGGTACTTGGTGTGTGTACGGGACACGGATAGAGGGAAATAGGTATAGTGCACGGTATTTTGGTGGGGTTATGTCTTTTTTCGAAGGCCCATCGCGCATTCGTGTTTAAAGTGATTGGGGGAGAGAAGAGAGAAGAGAGAGGGGGGGGGAGAGAGGAAAGAAGAAGGATAGTAACAATATGAGTATGGTATGAGTAGGCAGGAGGAGGAGGATACTTCACTTCGTACAGCAAGCACTAGAATCGACTCCAGTAGTATAATTGGTCTCTAAATAGAAATAAGTACAGAAGTACAAACTAAAATCATATTCAATCCATTCAATCCATTCTACTCGTACTATCTCGAACTAATTCATTCCATATTATGTCTATTATTGATTGGCTTTGAAATAGAACATAATAAAGGAGTGTATATGACAGAAATCTCAATACACCTGGATCTTTCCTTGCCTTGGTAGGTATCTAATAGATTTATATGGATATCTTCATCTGCCGATTCTAGCCACTCCCATTCTAATGAAGCCCATAAAACACACATTGTATACACATACGTATGAAGAAAGAGCCTTGGATCCATACTTTTCATTCAATCTCCTGTACTTTCATCTGTTTGAATGCTATTCCAGGCTTCTTCATCTAGCTGTACACCACCACAACCAACACTACCACGACTACTGCAATAAGAACACTGACTTGTCGACCTCTCCCTCTCCCTCTCCAACATCCCCCTCCCTTCTCTTGCATCTCTTCCAAGTTCCCCCCTCATCATTCCCCTGCTACCCAATCCAAATCTTGCTGCGTTGTCCATCCTTCATCCCTGTCTAGCTTAATCCCAGTATTGGTGTGTGTTTCAGGGATACATCTCTTGTCGTCTCAGTCAATGATTGGCGGAGGTGGCCAAATGATGCAGGGAGAGCATCATGTACTACTTGTACTGCGTGGCTGGACCAATCATGTGGCTAGCTCTTTCCATTTGAAGATATGGAACTAATGCAATGGCTTTAGACGATTGGATATGGTGACGTGAGAGATGGAAGGAAAGAGAGAGGAAGATCGGGCGATCAAAGCATTTGTCTGTTGGAGGTCTTCGACTTCCCTTGCTTGGATTTTGCTTTACTCCCAAAAAGAAGTGTTTAAGGAAGTATAAAATTGTTACATTAACCAGCCACCGAATTATTCTTTTATAATGTGGTGAAACAATCAAAGAAAATGATAATCTACAAGTAGAATTTTTTAAATACGTCACATTCATTAAACGCCCTTCTTCTTGAAGATACGAGAGAGCAGATACAAATGCATGAACAGACTTTGCTTTGTAGAACATCAAAATTGCCATTTCATGCATGATGTTGTGCCTATCTAAAATGCTACCTATTCGCTATGCTAATTACAAGATATACTACAGTTGGTTTTCCCAAGGCTTTTTCTCTTAATCCTCCATCCCTTGCTCGCTATCCCTCAAATCCCTTGAATTTCGTAAGTATCGTATCATTCTGAATGACCGTATCAATGAAATGAGATTTGCGTCATCTCCCAGTGCTCACACGTTCGTATGCAATTTATGTAAAAGTAACAAGACTCATCATCTTCCACCAGCCATTACACTTCTGTAGTATCCCAAACTTAGATCGATGGTGTGCTTCAAGTATCTGTCTTCTGTGAGGGGCAGTCTCAAAACCTTCGGTAAATCCACATTCTGTTTGACGTGGTTAGTACTTGTCAAAAGAGGGGGCCGCCAGAATGTTCTTACCTCGCCCTTCTTCTCCATGTCCACCACCGCTTTTGCCACCAATCCACTAATAGTCTCAATTGCCACTGTCTCCATAAAAGCGGGGTGGCGCGATTCATCCACGACAGCCGGTAACCCTGCCAACAATCTGTCCAATACTGCAAGGTCGAGTTCTTGGCTCTTCTTTTGGAATTCAAGTAAAGTGAGGAAGTCCTGATAAATCTCGCCTCCAAGATGCCACTCCAAGATAGCATCCTCCTTGCCCGCAAAGCTGGCAAGAATATTGCGAAGTGTAGCATAGTCGAATTCGATAACTGCCTTTGGGGCAACTTCCTTTGCAAACGTACGGTGAGCTTCTTCAAACAATCCGGCTTTAGTCAGAAATTCGACTTCGCTTAATGGATCCTTCCTGACACTTCGAGTGTACAATGCCTTCGCTTCCCATATCCATGATGCTGGAATTTTGTAATGCTGTACCAAGGTAATGAAGCTCTGACTATCTTCAGATCCGATCTTCGCAGCATGTCGAGCAAGATGATCTTGGATGGATTTTGCACGAGCGTTGGTCGACGACAAGTGAAGCAGAACAAATACTGCATCGAGCCAGTATCCTTCATTATTGAGCTGAGAGGCAAAAGCCAAGGTAGTCTGGTCTTTCTTCTCTTCGGCGGTGCCTTGGTAATCCAATGCACCAAAAGAAGTTATGGCCCGGCTCAGTTGCCACGAAAGGCGCATGTCCAAGGGCGATAGTTGTGAATTCTCAGGTCGTAGAATAGCCTCGAGGTCAGCGTTGTCGTAGGTATACAACTTCAATAGACCCCAAAGAAGATCCTCGCGCTCATGAAGCTGGTCGTCTTGCCATAATTTAGGAATCTTCTGTTCGACGTACCAAGCGTGAGGTCTGGATGTCTCTTTTTCTGCCATTTCTTTGTCAAAGATTTTGACTGCGACATCGAGCTCCTCATTTGCCTTGATTGCGTACCACAATCTCAAGCCAAATGCTTGCCGCCAATCTAGCCCGAAACGTTTCGAAATAATGAAGTCTTCAATACGATCTTCCATATGAGGTGCTTTGTTACCTTCACAGTAACAGACATTTCCAGCAAGAAGTTCGTAGAGAGCACGGATTGGCTGACTAAACTCAGAGAGAGCTTTTGTGTTTCGCCACTGTAATAACTGCTCGCGCATGTCTTTCTTGATACTTTCCTTGCCACCAATCATTGCAATAAGTGTAGCCAAATGGAAGTTCTTACCATTGATAAGATGTCCACAAGCCTCTGGAATCTTGTGACCGGACAAAGAGGCGATCGCTTTCTCTTCGCAGGATCTAGCCATTGCAACATGTTGAGATGATGCCTGTGCAACTAAATTTTGCCAAAATGTAGACAATTTGTCTTTGCGTAGGCGCTCAACTGCATTTTCAATGTGATTCAGTTCTTGAGGAATTTCAATATGGTCAAAAAGAATGCTGGCAAGTTCCCAGACGAGCTTTTCATGAGCTACTGATGGATCTCGAACATTTCGTTCGTCGAAGAAGTCTAGGAAGGAATATGTCTCTGGTAATGATGCGTAAGGAACACCATCGTAATTCTCGATGACCGTCAAAGATTGGTGCTTCTTAAGTGCATCCGCTGAAGACTCATTGGAAAATTTAGCGAACCGGATATTACTAGCTTCAGCAATACCACTCTTTTGAATCGTGAGCAGACCATCCTTCTCACGAGCTCGACGCGATTTGGTAAATGGTTTGGAATCGGCAGATGCGGCATATACCAAGGTTCCATCTGGGCCCCAGCTTGGTTTAACAGAGTCGTGAAACGCACGATCCTCTTCTGGCATTTCAGATTCGTCATCACCAATTTTGGATTTCTTGTTAAAAGGTTTCTGTAAATATGATTTCTTAGCATTTTATTACATAAATATTAGATACATGAGTGGGCGCAGCGAACGGCCCCATTAATTATCACCATCTCACAAGAATGTTTAGCAAGGAAAACCAACCTCAAAATTATCGCCCCTCTTGTAATTGGAAGCCTTGATAGGACTTGCGACCTTTCCAAACAAGTCATTGTGAACATCCATAAACGATGCAAATCCGTTTGTGTTTGAAAAGCCCTTGTTAGTTGTTGGAACTTCAGTTTGTGCCAAGACAGACTGCTTTTCGTTTCCGTGGACATCAATAAGACTTTTCAAAACGGCACGATCCTGTTTCTTGGGGCTGGCAGTTGCTCTCAATGTAGCCGCCCAGTCATTTGCAGCTGGAAATCGGAGCTTGGATGGTGTGTCCAATTTTTGCGCTCTTGCTCTAGCTCTCACAATTGCACCAGGTGTCCCAAATTCAACCGTATCATCTTCTTCTTGCGAGTCCTCCATTTGCTCCGCGGTATTGCCAGTTGCTGGAAAAGAGCCCGCCATCTCTTGATCCACGATACTGACAGATTCATCGTCCTCGTAGACGTCGTCTTGGTCAATTGGTTCCTCGACGCCGCTTTCTGACTGTGAACCCACGGAGCGATTATCTAAAAAAGACTCCTGGTTTTGAACAAATGTGCTATCCGCGACTTCTTCATCTGAGTAAACCTCCTCGTCATCGAATGCGCCTGGAAGGATCTTTTTCTTCCTAAATTCAAATGTGTCCTCAGGATCTGACTCTGTTTGTGTCAAATCCATATCAGACGCAAAGGACTCATCGAAGTATTGAGGGGTGGCCTTTGGTGTACGAGTTCGCGGAGTTGGTGTGTCTGGAGGAGCAGTGAGAGTACTATTGCCAAAGTCGCCACCATCTTCTTCTTCGACCTCCATATCGTCGTCCTCCTCATCTCCATAATCAAGTTCATAAACCGTGTAATGTGCAACATTGAACACCCAAGTTCCATCATCCGTATTGTAACTCACGAATTCGGTATCCTCTACAGTCTTCAGCTTCTTGATATGTTTCTTCAAGCGTGCATCATCAACTCCTCTCTTAGAGGTATTGCGAGGCCACGAATTAAAGAGGGTAATGGTAGACGGGACGTTAAGTCCGGACCCAACCTGAGGTTTTTGGACAGGTGCGTTGTCTGGATAAACTTCAGCGCGTCTAGTTTCAAGAATAACGATCCTGTCAAAGATATCATCAAGATTGATGCCATTGAGATTGACTACATCACCGAATTGAATGTAACCAACGCCCTCACGACCGACTGTAAATTTGTGTACCTTTTGACGTTCGGCACGAGTCATATTTTCAATTTCTTCCCTTGAAGGCGTCATCCAGTAGTCGCCGAGAGAGGAATCACGAGGAGATTTAGGAGACTTGGACTGCTTCTCATTGACGATGGCGAGTTGCTTGTTCTTGTTGACTTCTGTCATCTCAGGTGAGGTAAGATCAGGGCTCTGCACAGAACTATTGTTAACAGGGTGTAATGGGCTAGCAGATGCGGTTCCATTGGAGTTAGCAGTGCCGTTGGCCGAACCATTGGGGGTACCGTTGACGCTACCATTGACACTGGCGTTGGGTGACGATGCTGGTGTCTCGAAAGTGACCTGCTTCTTAATAATCGACTTGTTAGGAGATTCGGCAGGATGATCTGGAGTGACAGGGTTCTTGAAAAGGTCGGAGCGGACATTGCGGTTGATAATGAGCTTCTTGAAGCTTCCGCCGCTTGCATAGGTTGTGCTGGTGCTAGACGAGAATGCGCCTGGTGCTAAAATGCTATCATCGCTGTGGAAACTGCGACGAAGGCTATTACTAGACATACTCTTGCTCAACGCTCGGTTGCCACTCAGTAAGCTGCTGCTGAACATCGAAGGAGTGCTTCCTGCAGTCGAGACGCTTCCTGGGGTGTAAGATAAACCGAAACCTCCACGAAGAGATTTGCTAGGAGTGTTGAATCGCGAAGAACCAGATGAGTTTAGCTTGTACAACGGAAGAGCAGCTGCCTTCTTTTGTCTATTAGCACTTGACAATGGGGTTGCGAGAGGTCCAGGGTTCTGGAGACGTTCTGAATTAGTCTTATCCTTGTCAGCAAACATAGACTGAGTGCCATAAGCTTTAGAATCGTTAAGACTAGTGCTGAGAGATTGTGGGCCTTGTCCCTGTTGTGATGTGTTGAAGATGGAACCTGTTCCAAAGATGGAACCTTGGGGTTGAGCAGGTTGTTGCTGCTGCTGTTGGCCAAGTGTTGATGAACCAAACAAATTTGACTGCTGCTGGGTCCCAGTGTTACCAAACAAGCTCGACCCTTGTTGTTGCTGAGACTGACCGAACAATCCGCCAGGTTTCTGCTGGTTGGCATTGTTTCCGAGACTAGCACCAAAGAGGCCGGAGCTTTGCTGGGGTTGATTGTTTTGATTTGAAGCACCAAAACCACCACCACCACCGAATAAGCCGCTTGTGCCAGTGTTGGCTTGAGCTGCAGGCTGGCCAAAGAGACCGCCTGTAGCAGCTGGTTTGGCACCGAAAAGACTGCTTCCGGTGTTGGTATTATTTGCACCACCAAAAGGACTATTGTTTGTAGCTGCTGGTTGCGAGCCGAATAATCCTCCAGTATTTGAAGCAGCGGGTTGCGCGCCAAAAAGGCCAGTGGTAGCTGGCTTTTGTTGGGTATTTCCAAAAAGACCTCCACCAGTGTTGGTGTTAGTAGATCCAAAGCCGCCTCCAAAAGCATTAGTTGTAGCTGGTTGTTGTTGAGCGGCGCCACCAAATCCAGTTGTTGTATTTTGCTGCTGTTGAGTATTTCCAAAGAGACCTCCTCCAGTGTTTGTATTGGTCGCTCCAAATCCACCTCCCGTTGAGCCAAAGCCTCCGGTGGTGGCTGCTGGTTGCGTGTTGCCAAAGCTAAAGGCAGGTTTTGCTGCAGCGGCGTTGTTGTTGTTATTGCCAAAGAGACCCCCTCCAGTGTTGGTATTGGTAGATCCAAAGCCACCAGCTGTGGAACCAAATCCTCCGGTGCTTTGATTGTTGGTAGTCGATCCAAATAATCCACCACCAGTCTGTGCTTGGGGTTGAGCACCAAAGAGCCCACCAGTCGCGGGTTTTGCGGCACCAAAGAGTCCGCCGCCAGCTGTAGCGGTGTTCGAACCAAAACCTGTGCTAGCTGGTTGACTTGTACCGAAACCCGTGCCTGTTGATCCGCCACCAAACATGGTTGAACCTGTCGTGGCGTTATTTGTAGAACCAAAACCTCCCGTTGAAGCTTGGTTGGAACTACCAAATCCGCCGAAGTTTGTGTTTGTGCCAAATGCACCACCACCTTGGTTTTGATTATATCTCAAACCCTTGGTGTAATCGGCCAATCGAAGTTCCTCGGGCGTAAAGTTTTTGTAGGGTTGTTGAAAGGATATGCTTTGGTATGCGTTCTGCATAGAGGAATTTGGCTCCTTCTCGACAAATGCTGTAAAGGGGACGGCTTGGGTGCCTTCGCACTGGGTACTTGCAGCAGCTCCTCCAAATCCAGTTCCTGCAGTGCTTCCAAATCCGGAACCTCCCCCAAAAGCTGAAGGCGTGCTTGTAGCAGGAGCAGATCCAAAGCCGCCAGTTTTATTTCCGAACAGTCCACCTCCAGTATTGGTAGCACCAAATCCGGTTGTGGGCGCAGCGCTACTCCCAAATCCACCACCGCCAAATGCACTAGTTGTTCCCGTCGCGGCACCACCTCCAAACATACTACCACCTGTTGTTGCGGTTGTACTTCCAAATCCAGTAGTTGCTGGCTTTGCTCCAAACCCTCCGAAACCTGTGAAGAATGTCAGTAACCCACCATCAACCGAAATGTCAAAGAGTGAAAAAGAAATTGCTGGAACGTGTAGTTTGAAAGAAACTCGGTTTCATGGTTAAGATGACTCGCCGCTGATCTAAATTGGACGATTCGAGGGCAAGGGCGAATGCGACAAGAATGCGATCCAAGGTAAAACAAGCTATCAAGCTAAACAAAACCACCCAGAAAGTTAGAGCATTAGAGCATCGACATACCAGTACTGGCACCGGTATTACCACCAAAGCCTGAAGAAGCTCCACCACCTCCAAACATACCACCACCCGTGTTGTTATTTGCACCGAAGCCGGTATTAGCGGGAGCAGGTGCACCGAAAACTATTGCAAGAGACGATTTGAGTAAGTAATGAGTTCAACGGGATCGCAGAACCCCCTCAGTCTTTCCCGACGCCCAGCGAGTTATATGTAAAGAAATATTGAAAGGGTTGACCTACCTGAGCCGGTATTGTTGTTTGTAGTTGAGCCACCAAAACCTCCTCCAAATCCCGTCGGTTTATTTTGTTGGCCGAAGCCACTACCAAATGCTCCTCCCCCGAACGACATCTTGATTGATTATCGACAGTAGGCGAAGCGGATCTGAATCGCTGCTAGATGTAGCAGATTGCGAAACTGGAAAGTCGCTCTCTTTGTGGAGAGACGAGGTTGATCACAATCGCAGAAAAGGCGAACGCGCAAAAATGGAGAAATTGCGCTTAGGATCGAGAAAGTGTCGCATACATTAGAAATTGTAAAGAGAGTGTCAAAAAGATCATCAATAACAAAGTGGTTGGATGATGTGTGGTAGAAGAATTGAAGTTGGATTTGAAAGTCCGAAATTGTTTTGGTGATAGATTAGAGAATTTGTAGGAGAACGCGCTTTAATTGTAATGGTCGTTGGAAGAAAGTTCGGCTAGGGGAGGGAAGGGAACATGGGCCTCGAAAGTCAATGAGAGCTTTTGAGAACTTGAGAATTGGAGAACCTTTACCTAGGGAACTTTGATGCAACCAATTAATAAATATATGAAAATACAATTTTAGCCAGTGAATGAAGCAGATATCAAGAACCCCTTTGAGAGGCACTGTTGCCTTGGATAAATATCATCTTGTTGTTGGTATGAGTACTGTACGTACTGGGTAGTACAGCTGGTATTTGGGCGGATGACTAATGATATCTCGATATGAAGATATTATGATACAGCTGTTGATTGCACCTTGGAAATCTGGACTCTGCTCATGAGTACATCTGACATTTGTATGGCTAGCCACCTACCTCAGATAAGAAGTCCATGTTAGGCTTTCTGTGATATGACTCTTCTTTGTACCTGAGGAAGAAACTCTACAATATGATTTGATACTTGAAGTTTCACAGTCTCTACAGAGATTCATAGCCAAGGTTCCCGTTCGTATACGATCCGTACAATCCATACAATTGTATGTGAGTGATCACCTGATGCTGTGCGCGTGACCCGCCTTCGATTTCAATACCTACCACCTGCCTAGTAAGTACTACCTTCCGTCTTATGAAAGCTTTCTTCTCTCTTTTTTGGCTCTTTTGACTATGATGATGGAATGGGACTCCGTACAGTAAGTAACTCGGCCCCAACTCCATGCATGCACGCTTTCGACCTCGAGCTATCTAGTACTTCATATCTCATACTTGGTACACTACCAGTTCACCCAATTACATCTTCATTACCGGTATTGGGTAGTGAGAGAGGGATACGTCGATCGATGGTACCGTTCCAACTTCCATGCGACCGTGATGACTAATCACGCCCATTTTCGAGTGCAGCACTCATTCGACGCGTTCAGGTTCAATTTTCTCCAAAAGCTTAACGCGTCGATTCTTCGAAACAGTAGTACCACCTTGCACCACCTTGCACCCTACACTTTTAATCCCCAATCAACCCATCATAATCACCTACATCAAATCGCTCCGTCCCACTTCACCACCCTGTCCGACAAAATTATAATAATAGCTTTCCTTCCCAGCCACTAACAACGACCCGTCCTCTCTAGACCTGCTTGATACACGTTATTTTACAATTAATAGCCACTTTTTTCTCAATTGCTCCCACTTTGCGCGCACTGTGTTTTAAATAAATAAAAAAGTGTTCGATGGCATCAACAAGTCAACCGCATTCTTCCTTCCCCGCGCGTCCTTTCAATAACATACGCAACCCTCCCACCACAACAGCTTTTGCTCAATCACAACCCGCTCTGGCTTTGAGGCAGAAAGAAAGGTTATCGAAGGATACCCAAGCGCAAGCTCCCGCCCCGGCCATGGCCCCGCCGGCTAATGCTCAAATGAATATCTTGAGTGATGAACAGAGGGAAGAGATCAATGAAGCTGTATGTTTACACATATCCCACGAAACACCATGCGCAAAACGACCCAACTCCATCACGAGTCGCGCGCATCGCATTTGCCCCTCCTCCTCAACCCACATCAAAACAATGCGCTAACAAACCCCTCAGTTCGTTCTCTTCGACAACGACAAGGACCAAAGAATCGACTACCACGAATTCAAAGTAGCCCTCAAAGCCCTCGGTTTCGATCTGCCCAAACCCGAAATCCTCACTCTCTTAACCACGCACGGCATACCTCCCGACACCGCAGCGCGCAACGGCATACGCGATCCCAATATCCCCCCTGGGCGTCTGCTACTCACTCTCCAGGCCTTCCAAACCATCGCCGGGAATCTAATAGCGGCGCGCGATCCTCGCGACGAGATACTGCGAGCGTTCGCTCTATTCGATACCGACGACAAAGGCATGATAACCCTTGAAGATTTACGGCGAGTAGCGCACGAATTAGGCGAAGGACTAGAAGAAGACGAGCTGCGAGCGATGATAGAGGAATTCGATTTAGAGGGCAAAGGCGGAGTAGGGAGAGAAGAGTTTATTCAAATATGTATGGGATGAATGAAAACCCCCAAACTCAATATATCATCTCATCCTCATCAAGGTCTCGGGTCACCCATTGGATTACCACCTTCCCCCAGCCTCTGGAAGCAGTCCACCGATTTGTTCCATCGTTTCATCGAAAACAAAATCATCCCGGCCAATTCGAAGTACTGGAGCAGAAGGATAGGAGATAGGGACCTGTTTTGATTACAGTATGACGTTTTTGTCTTTAGTTTTCCGTGCATATCACATCGTTATACCATCAATCATATCAAGGAGTAAAGCAAGGAGTGCAGGCGTCGGTTTGGGTTACAGAGAGTCCAGGGTATTGCACTACCTTCATGCAAGTAGGTATGCATAATTACAGTACATTTTCAGGATACCACATCCACACCACGAGAAAGACATTCGTGATCTCAAATTGAAAACACATACCTGCCAGTCGAAGAATCTGTCCAGAAGTCGCGTCGAATGGCATCAGGTATCACTCAGCATTACACCAAATTAGCGAACAGCATTATTCAATTTATCACGATATTCACATCCCGTAACTCAATCTACTCTAACTACACCGTCTTCCTAAAGCTGAAGCCTTGCAATATCCCCAAACCATATTATCCTCTTCTTTCCATCCAACCCAAATTGCATATCAAGTTATCTCATCTCACAATGCACTCAAAAATCTTTCGGAGAAGAAAAATAGATTGATTGCAAAGAAGGATTGTAACAATAGAAGAATGTAGAAAAGCCACCTCGCGCCTGTAAAGCAAAGGGGCATGCGTAAACCAATCCAAGGCTTCCGAATAATTTCCATGTCGAAGTGCAAAACTTTATACTTTCCATTTTCCGCTCTTCCAACAATGCCATGTATCACTTCTTATCTGCCTCCCAGCTACCATCTAAAATTGTATCAAATCTCCACCCTGTCCGTTCTGTCCCTGCTGAGGTCTGGGGCCGAATGGATTGCTCGATTGGTTAAATCCGTTTGCGCCGCCGTTCATACCAGCTGGTCCAGTGGCGGCTGGCACTTGTCGACCAAATGGACTGTTGCCGAACGCGCCAGCAGCGTTATTTTGATATGTCGTTTGTGGCATGCCGGTAAATTGGGTCTGGAGGAATGGGTTGTTGCCGGTTTGTTGTTCGTGGATACGTCCTAACCCAGCACCTGCACTGTTAACAAAGGTTCCCGGTGCAGTATGCTGAGCTGGGATTCTAAGGTTTCCTGTATTTCCAAAAGTGTCCATTCCATCTCCGCTAGATAGAAGCGCATTGAGCTTAGCTTCATGTTCGGATACTTCTCTTTGGGGTGGTTGTGGCGAGAATGAAGGAGAAGGACTGAACGACGGAGTGTTGCTGAATGATGACGTATTGTTGTATTGGCCCAAAGTCTTCTGTTCTTGAAGAGTAGCGAGCGTTGGTTTGGATGCAGCGGAACTGGTTTGAGGGCGCGCAAATGATGATGCAAATGGATTGTTCGATCCAGTAGGCATTGGTTGTAAAGATTGGAGTGGCTGGCTCTGGTTTGTGGCCCAGGGGTTGTTTGTTCCGGCGGGGGCAATTGGTTCTAGGTGTTGTTGTTGTTGCTGCTGAGGTTGCTGCTGTTGCTGTTGTGAGAACTGGTCATATGGATTAAATCCAGTAGGCTGTGGTTGAAACGGTTGTTGTTGTTGTTGTTGCTGTGATGCGTAAGGATCAAAGCCCGTTTGCTGCACGGAGAATCCAGGTTGATAACCAGTAGGTTGATAGCCGGTAGGTTGCGCATTTTGGAAATTTGTATAGGGATTCAAATATCCCGTAGGCTGTGTTTGCAAATCAATGGGATTTCCAGACCAATCGACGGCTCCTTGTTGCTGGTACCCTCCATTGAAACCAGTGGGTTGCGATAATTGGATTGGATCATCATCAAAGAGCGACTGCGCATTCTGCTCTTCTAATTCACGTCTGCGCAATTCTTCTTCCTCTTGACTGAGCTTGAGAGCTTTAGCAAGATCATCGTCGTCTGGTTCACCGCCCCCTTGCCTACTCTCGCGCTTTTTGCGATCCTCTTCCTCTTGGTATTTACTGGCCTCAATAGCCAACCTGTATTCTGCATCCTCTTCGTCGGCGCGCTGCGCTCGGTGTGGTCGTTGTCGTCGCGGCTGTGCATCTGAAGGTTCGGAAAACTCATCCAAGCCAGTGACTCTGGATTTCCAGTTTTTGCGATCAGCGCGCTCAGCTCGAAGTCTATCCTCATCTAAGATCAAAGATGTTAATTCTTTAGCGGAGACCCGAACTAAGAACATAGTTAGCAAGCTTCATTAGTCTCATCATGAAAATGCAAACCATTTTGGCCAACATCTCTCCCATCCTCGTCAATATACTGGAACTCCCTCAAAGTCTTGATAATATAGAGATTCTTTCTTGCCCATGTCACTACCAACTCGGAACCTTCGTGCAGACAGTAATCTAACACTTTCAACGCCTTCAAAACATGTCTCCAATTTTTGCCCTTGTCGTTCAAACGTTTGTCGATCATATCCATTATCTGATAAAATGTTTCCGCCCTATGATACTCGTGTCAGTTCTGTTCACAATGGCAAGTGATAAAGGCACGCACGAATTGAAGGTTAGTTGGGCAATTTCAGCCATGTCAGATCCAACCGGACCCCATGGGTCATTACTCGTAGCTATCATTTATCAATAAAAGAGTCGGGAGTTTGGCAAGAGGATCATACCATTCCGAACTTTGATTTGCACATTGTTATATCCTTTCGTGATGTTCTTGACGCTTCGTACGACCTTCGACATGTTGGCGACCTGATCTCTCCTGAGTTCAATACCAAATTAATTGTAATGTCAGAATTGCGATCAAAGATTCGGTAGCTATCCAGCTACGATGCAACACCTAAGAAAGCCAATCGCAAATCGCGTTTGTGTGGAAAGGCGACAACGGCGTAATGATGAATGATGTTGTGAGGTATGGCGTCGTAAGTGATCACTATGTAATCGCTTGATATGGTAATTTCCGATGTTAATGAATGAAGACCCGGCGCTGTATGTACCTGGTAGTAAAGGCTAGGCTATGCTTCGGTTGGCCCCGCACTTTCCAGTTCCTGATCAAAGAGAATGAATATCTGAATGTCTAAAAAATCGATTAAAAAGGGTGATGTTTGATTTTGAGGTTGAAGGTGTCTTTTTTCTGTAAAGGTTGGTTGAAGACGATTAGGTATGTAGAATTAAGCATATAAAATTTAGGTAGATAGGTAGTGTCGGTTCAGGTTGCGACAATTTCCAGGTAGTGGCTAGAAAAGTTGAAAGTTGCAACTTGCAGGTCCTCCGGCAAGCGGTGCAGTATGACGATTAGCGGGAACAACCCCATGGCCCAGAAAAGTCACCATCCATCCAATACAATCATGTGACACGTATTCAGAGTTCATGTCAGGTACATACGAGCTATCATTGGGCTTCACTAACTGGGGATATCTGTTAGATAGATGATTGTTTTCAGATTCGGAATGTTTTGGTTTATTTTGGTATTGACTAATAAACCCCCTTTTTCTCCAATCAACCAACTACTGCAAGTACTAGGTGATTGTCTTGCATCGATCAAGATCAGCACTGTTGCCATACCCTTCCCCTTTCCATCTTTCAAATAATTCGCCTGTTCTGCTTCCCTGGCATCCTCTACTGTTGACATTCGCACAGATCAAGCATACCACGGATTGATTACTTATATAAGTACTGGAGTTAAGACTCGAGATCAATGTATTCCATTGGAACGTGGTCAGCCACCAATCCCCAGTGAAAAGCAGGAATCCTTCTAGACTACCACAGTATGACCAGGCACCATACTTATTTTTTTTTTTGAAATATGTGCACCGAATACATCCTCAGTCTGCAGTATTCAATCCCTCGAATAGTTCTTCGTGCGAAATGATATCCACTTGCTTGGCTAGCTTGATTTTTGGTTGGATATGTAGGCCCGCAGCCCTGAGCATTGCAAATCTAACAGCATCAATGCCATATTTCCTTCCAGCACATTTCTCAGATGTGCATGTTAGTATCTCTCCAGTCATAGAGTCAGCATCCTCAGACTCTGGATCCGGCTCGATCGTTTCTTTTGTCTCTTGCAAGACTTTGTCTAGGCGGGTCATCCTATTCTTCAAATTATCATTGCTCGGGATTTTTTTCGTATTTGAAGCAAACAACATCTTATCAATCTTTGATAACACCACTTGATGGGGTACTTTCTGTGACCGCAACATTTGCAGCATCACACGATCACTTTCCTTGATTCCGTGCTCGGAGTCAATTAGTACAAAGGCTCGTTTCAGCTGTTTCCTCTTCTCCAAATATTTGATGATTTCTTTTCCCCATTCAGGTCTACCACCGTGTCCATATCCTGGCATATCCAGTACCACTAATCGCTCACTATTATCTTCCGACCCTTCGTGCCCTCCAATCGCAAATGCATTCATAGACCGTGTTCGCCCAGGTTTCGAACTGGTATATGCTGCCTTGGTGTTGAGCAGAGCGTTGAGAAGAGATGATTTGCCAACCTACAACACGCCAGTGTCAGTATGTATTTATAAGTGCAACAACTCGTGTCTTCTATATCTAAAGGCCACAGATAGTATTTAATGCAATAGCAAGATCAAGCTACAAGCTACAAGCCCAATAGTATAACTAGAGGATTAAGCTTACATTTGATCGTCCTAAGAAACAAACTTCGGAGCTGTCTCCAAACTCCATGGCATAGAATTGCGATGTAGACCACAAGTGCTTGGGAGGTTTTTTGGTGAAAAATCCATTTGCGTGCACAAGTTGAGCTTCCGTGGGTGGTAAAGTGTCCCAGTGGTAGCAGAGTTTAGTAGAAGGAAAATTCATATGTTGGGGTATTTGAGAATCATGACCCTGTGATATTGTCTTAAGTCCCCTGAGAACATTTCTCGCAGAGATCACATCTCGTCGGGTTGTACGAGCACATGACTGTATCCTCAAAAGCGTTGACATTGGAAGGGGATTCGATGTTGAAGTGCTCGAAAATATAAATATATCAGTTGGACGAGGCTGCAAGGCTGAAAATATGTCGGAATTTTTGGTGCCGACAGTTCTAATTCTAAGATGTGCCAGGATGGTGATTTCACACTCCTCATCAACTTTCCTCAAACCTCACTCTCATCGGCGCGGGCAACTACGAAAATGTCCTCTATCACACCTACAAAACTACGCTCGCTCTACCGTTCGTTTCTTCGCGAACTTCCATCTCGGCCTCTCACCCAGGAATCCCGCTCACCTCTACAATCCCGCATTCGCAGGACCATAGCCTCAGAAACAGGCACGCCAATCGAGCAAGCAGAGCAATTCCTACAATATGTCAAGGCGCAAAGGATGTATGCCACTTTACTTGAGAGATACAACCCTGGGATGAATATGGATGAAGAAGAGCGAGTACGTCTGACTGCCAGGAGGGTGGGAATGGATCTACCGGAAGAGTTTTCGTATGGGCAAGATGGGAATGGGGGCAAAGTCCAGTGAGGGTTGAAGCGGTTGTAACGACAACATCGCTCATGCAAATCAATGGAGGACGCGAAATCTTGACAGCAAATAAGATGGATGGCCATTGATGGACCCGCTATCTAGAGCTTTGGGATATGGCACCTCTTGAGGGTTATTCCTGTTCAATGCCTCGTGCGCATACTAAGGACGAGCTATCACCCCAGTATCATGTCAGTTTCAATAGGGCCGGAAGATATTTGTGCAGAACACGAGCTTCGCTGTACAGATCGGATTGGCAATGAAGTAATGCAGCTCCAGGCCTCATTCAGTAGGCTAGCTTCCAGACATGAATGATACTTTTAGCATCACTTTTATTACTTTGTATAACCTTAAGCGGTAACATGTTGTTGGGGCTCAATCTTGCCTCGTTTCCTGTACGATATTACGTCGAACTTGGATTGACAATCCATCCATGTCAGATAAGCAATGTGAAAGAAAAAAAATGGAGCTTCTAATAATGATGCTCACTTCGTGATGTCGCTCAGTGACATTTCGACATGATGAGATCCACAGTGGAATTTTCATACACAGTACCGACCGTGATGAAAGTGCCGCCTCGGTTTCCAGATGAGCTTTCTCCTGCCCTTTTCTCTTGCCTACTTGCCAAGCTCAAGCTAAGCTCCTTGTCCAATACATCACTTCTATGAATACAAAGATGTCAGAATCACGTTTTCATCCAATACCACACCTAGATATCTTCACACATGTCTTATGAATTGACAACTCACTGCTAGAGTAGCGATTCCATACCGAAGCAAGCACAATACAATAAGTTATGACTGCCCAAATCACCTATCCTCGTAAGTCTCTAGATCCTAACTGTTGCAATTGTGAGATGCTTAATCGGTGAAGCTGGAAAGGAAAAAAAGATAAGACATTGGATGACTCTATTTTTAGTGACCCTATAGAAAGCACTTTGTTAGTCTCGGGCTCCACATGCAACAAATTCCTCTCCATAATCCTTAAGAATTAATTACTAGGTAAGTGATAATTATAGTTAATATTGTTGGTCTGTATTCTCTATTCGAGAAACGAACATGTCCTCAAGGTTTCGATTGAGAACTCAATATGAAGGACTGTCATGATTTAGTATTCAAAAATTGCATATACAGATTCTAATTCAGGTACACCCCATGGCTTACCCTCAACGGTGCATATACATATCAAATGAAAGCTTCAATCTTCTTCCTATGCTGTCGAAGCCGTCAATACAACCTTTTAAGGGCACGGATACGCTTTGGCGCATGAATCGTTGGGGGAGCGAGGGGGAGCTCGTAAGCGCTGAACATGTCAAATGAAGACTAGCAGACTAGATCCATGTCTGAATGTCACTGTATTATCATCTAATTGGTTCAATACGAAAAAGGCGGACAGAATTAATCATGCACATCAACTCCGATAACTCCAATCGTGGGCCATGCCGTATTTGGAACCCTGAAGTTGGTGGTGTTGTAAGGTAAGGATGGGAGCATCTTTCTTTGCCCATGCTTGCCATGCTACCATGCTTCAAAAACAGCCATCTCGCCCCTTCGAATCAAAAAATCCCACCACGACCTAAAGGGTGGTCGATTCCGTAGGTGAAAAAAAGGGATATTCTTCACAACTTGAAAACTTCACCTCACACTCAACTCAACTCGTTTACATCTTTATGTTCAGATGAGACCAAAGGCAAAGTCGTCTCAATAGGACGAAAGCCTGGCTTGAGTGCTTGAGTGCTTGAGTGCTTGAGTGTGGAGGTTAAGTCTCGTTTGTCGCGATAGCACCTTCGTGTTACTATTTTTAGAATCGGGAGACTTTAAAGACACGACAATGAACCCTCATAGAGAGCATGGTTTCCGAAGGAGAATGGAATTGAATCCCATCACAACATCTCTTCAAGTCACGCCTCCTCATCATCAGACTCCGGGATCTACCATTTCTGGAAATCCGAGCTCAGCATTTGGGTATCATCCATCACAGTACAATACACCTCTGAGCTCAGTGCGACAGTACAACCCTTCACAATGGACTTCATCTCCCAGCGTCAGTGGTGGTTCAGATGTTTCGCATTATTCTGCCAGGCCACCTCACGATCCAGATGGTACTTGATTTCAAAAATTGTTCTTAAATTTCGAATTATATCCACAGTGTGCGCGGGGTAGTAAAAGCTAATAAACAATTGCAGTAGTGATTCCAGCTCCACCTCCATACTCGCCACCTCGAAGCAATAGACCGGCAGGAGCGTCAGATGAGCCTATGTCTTCTCCACCACAGGCATATCGGTCTTCCCCAGATATTCCACATACCCCTCATACTCCGGCCCCAAGTACCCCACACCCAAATTACCCTCCTCCACCTGGTGGGCGATCGAGAGCTGGATCAAATGATCGACCACATGGTATCTTTGGCTTCTCTAGGAGACAAGTTAATCATTCTGAAAATACCAGAATGTCACCAGCAAACAGGGAACCTATACCACCAGTTCCACCCATTCCAAGAAGAGTTGTGGAACAAACGCGTCAAGAACTTGCAGAGCCTGTCCCGGTCAATTTTCTACCTCCAGGGTCCCGTCGAGCTGCATCTACAGGGGCCATCAGCTCAGCATCTCCGGCGCATTCGCGAGATCCATCTACTACTCGATGGCAGCCTGGAATGCCCTTACCTCCGCCTCCGCCTGGCGTCCCTCCACCCCCAAGATCCCAAAGTATGACCCGAACACTCGAAAGTGTAACCTCTCCCCCTACGCGAAGACCACCGCTTTCATCTTCTTTAGGTCCAGTTCCGCCCACTCCACTCTCGCCTCCACCCCAAGCTTCTGCGGCAGCATCAGATTGGCCTGACGAGGCACCCACAGCAGTATCCCCCCGAAACCGTGTAGAAAGTCCTGCGCTCCACATCGATACTTCGAGTAACGCTTCTAGTACAGCGACTGATTCTATTTCTGACTCAAATTCTTCTAGCTTGGCAAGATCGCGAGCAGTCAGAGGAGAGAAAACTATTCGTGAAAGAAGAAGTGAAAGTAGAACTGGCAGGATAGCTTACCCTGAATCGGCTATTGAACAATCAAATAATCCTTGGGCGGAAGCGATTACTCCTAGTGATATTGTTGTGCCCCTAGCGAGGCGACAAACCATAACCAGGGCAACTCCGAGGAGCGGAAGATCATCTAATTATTCAGAAACTCCGAGATCGTCCCAACCCATGCAGCAGAATTTGACCACTCCTGATCGTATGAATGGAACTGCTACTGGCTCTAGAGGCTCAACTCCTAGACCAGTGGCGCCTACTCCGCCTTTCTCTCCTGAGTCTATCAGGTCATCTGCAATAGAACACTCACCATCAGTTCCTTTTAAATCCTTGCCAACTCCCCCACCACAGTCAAGAATGGTTCAAAAGACTCCCAATAATCGTCCGCCTTCCTTGATTATCCCTAAAAATGACTCCGCAGTCATCGCTGCTTCGACTGCATCCCAGCCTACAACAGGCAAATCTGTTGCAAGTCAAATGTCCCAAATGTCCCCAAATGATGATTTCGCCTGCTCTGCAGCAGAGAGACATGAAATATTTGTTCAAAGAGAAGCTAGTGCAACAAATGATACAGACCGTGTACGCATTTTTGCTGAGTTCATTGTGAATGAATCTAGAATTCGTCGAGACCGTTATGCGTCTGCTATAGATGCAATGGGATCCGAGATTCTAGATTTAACTCGGGACTTATTTCGCCCTAATACTAACCCTCGTAGAGACTCTTCGACGTCTCGTGCAAGTGAATTTACACCTGCATCGTCAGCTGCTCCAAGATCTCATAGGGGCTCGCTAGTAGGGGCCGTGAAGGAAAATATATCATTACAAAATTCTGAACCAAGATCTGGATCGCGCCCACCTACGAGGCCAACCTCACGCTCAGATTCAAGACCTGGATCTAGAGCTGATTCAGCAGGTCCGCCATCTCCAGCTCCAACACAACAAAATCCACAATGGTGGAGTCAACCTGGCTATATGCCCTCCTTATCTCCAATCCCAAGCATGAGTGTTAGTGAGGCACTTGATGGTGCAAGTTCAAGAGGAAGGCCTTCAAGCAGATGGTGGGAAGTTAGTCAGCATGGATCAGATGGAGCTCCTTCGTCGAGATTTGAAAGATCGAAACGGGAATCAAAGTATATGGGTATGCCAAAGGAATTGCGTGAAGCTCTACAATTTGGTGAAGGAGACCAATCTTCGGGATCACCAATGGAGAACACGTTTGGTGGGCCGAGTAATCCAGCCCATCTAGGTCCCAACGAATATCCACAGGAGAAAACTGGCTTCCACCAACCGAATCAAGGATCTCCCGTATTTCAGCCAATTGTTCCCCCAGCCCTCGTTCCACGAACGCCCTTCACACCAAATCCAGAGCACCTTGATGTTTCAAGATTAGTCACATTGCCCCCACCTTATCCCCGTCACCACCCAGCAGTCAACAACAACCATCCAGATCTCACAAGCGTCCGTACAACTGTTCGTACCTTGAGCGACATCACTGAAGTAAATGCCACTAAAGAACGCTTCTTGAGGGATAGTGCTCAGATGCGGGAAGATCAAAATACTGCTGCCTCCAAGCGTCGGGCATCACTACGTCTTCGTATGCAACGCGATATTGAAGCTGGAACAATCTCGTACGCTGACGCAGCTGCATATGAAGCAGATTCCGTCACCAGCGAGCTTCTTAAATCAAAGGAAGCCGCCAAATCTATCTTTGAACTCTTTCAATCTCAAGTCGTTCTTCCTGTCAACGAACTACTCATGACCCGTATTCAATCAGCCACTGATCTTTTTGAACAGCTGCGAAGTAAACTCTTTAATGACTCAAGAAACCAGAATCCCACTTCTACCCAGGAAGAAGGTGACGAGCAACCAGAGCTTATTGAGAAATTGACCCTTCTCAAATGGATTTTCGAAGCTCGTGAGCAACTCCACCGTGAAGTTTACGAATTACTCTCGGATCGCAATGATCGTTACAAAGAAATGATAATAACTCCTTATCGCTTATCCCAAAATACCGAAAAAGTGCGCGGCGCAGAAACCTTCTTTGCAGAAGATGCTCAAAAACGCAAACAAGAATTCGAATCCGAGATTCTCAAGCGTACAGAGGAATTCATGGATATTATCGAAGAAAATGTAGTTCGCGGCGTGGAAGTTCAACTCGGTGCTTTCTGGGATATTGCTCCCTCTCTCAGTCGTTTGGTTGAGCAGATTCCGAAAGATGGAGATTTGGAAGACTTTATGATACAAATCCCCAAAGAAGAATACGAGGAAAATCCAAGCTATTATGATTTTCCATTGCAATATTTATATACACTGTTAGTCCACACGGGCAAATCGACATATCAGTTTATCGAAAGTCAGACGAATTTACTCTGTTTATTACACGAAGTCAAAGTGGGAGTAACGGCAGCAAATTGCAGATTAATGGCAACTCAACGCGTAGCTCAGGGAGAAGGGAAAGAAGAGGTGGAAAGAGAGTTAGAGGCAGTGAAGAGTGAAGAAGAGGGAAGACTGACGGATGATTTGAAGGAGAAAGTGAAAGTTGTAGAAGAGCTTTGGAGAAGTGGCTTGGGGACTGAGTTGGATGAAGTGAGGGGAAGGATTTTAAGATGGCTGAAGAAGGTTGGAGGCGAGTTGCCGCCGGATGACGAGGCGTAGGAGTGTAGTGGGCGAGTCACGGCGCATGCTAGAGTGGTAAGAAAATCCCCAATGCATGCACGTGTGCATTTATGAGGACGATGTTATGTTATGATATGATTTGATATCTTTACGTACAACGACTACGATAAGAAGGGTTAGGGGGCATAAGAATTCTTAATGTATATATTAACTACAACTCACGATCGTTTCTGGGGAGCTTAGGGGCAAAATTATTTAGATTGTTGGCGGTAACTTTTGTTGTCTTTTCGATACCCCTTTTAGTATGTACATCGTTCTTTTCGGCTATATGAGATTATGAAAATTCATGCAGATGATTTGATACAAGCCTTTTATGTGAATTATTGAGAGAATTTAATATTGGTAGCTATATTTCTATCCTAGATACATGCATACCTCAAACCAAAATCACACAAGCGATCTATCAGAATCCATAAATGGACACAGACACTAAAGGAAATTCTAAAACAATATCCTACTTCGTTTCCTATCCCCACAATTCCTGCAAAATTTTGGTCTGTGAGAGTCATAAGAACTTCTGTTCTGAGCCCTCGAGTTCGGGGATCATAGGATGCTGGGTGGGTGGTGAGGGCAGAGGATTTTCCTTAGTGTAAGATTTGGAGATCTCAATGTTTTCTATTGGGGAGTAAGGATGAGATTGAAGTGGATGGGGTATCTGATCTCTCTTTCTATCTTGATCTTGATTTGTTGCTTTCTGATTTGATTTTGGCTCTGCTAAGATATGGGGATTATGCTCAGCAGATGTTTTCTGGAGATTAGATGCTTTTGTTAAAGGGGAGATTGCGCGCGGACTTTTATCTTTAGTCTTTCTTTTTGGTGCAGCTTTGAGGTGTTTCCTAGTTTTAGAAGGCTCTGAATTGGTTGCAGAATGGTTTTCTACAGCACTTCCTCTCTTTACCTTGACTTTTTTACTTGCAACGTGCGCGGCTTCGTGTTTCATCTCCAGTTGAAATCGCGATTCATCTCGGTTGGGTGTCTGTTGTGCACTTCCCGCCGAATAGGCTCTATTCAGTAATCTGTGATTTCGCCATGGACTATAAGAGGGTACTGGTTGTTGGATTTTGATTGATTCTTGTCGGGGCATGTACACTTCTTGTTGATAATGATTACTTTGACTAGGTGTTGGGTTTGAGTTTGAAGAATACACAAGCTGTTTTTGCTGCTGTTGGGAAGAATAGGATGATTTGTAACTGGGGACTTGAAATATGCTAGATGGAGAGTTTGTCCAAGAGCCGTAGGAATCATGATGGGACGAGTAGCTGGGTGTTTCTTCGCCTGCGTCTGAGTGAAAGTGTGAAGTTGGGTGAGTATGCTGTCTGTTTTGCCTGTCAACAGGCTCTTCCCGATTTTCCGGTTGTATTTCAGCGAAACTCTGTCTTTCTTGCTGCTCACGAGGCTCATATCTAGGTGCAACATCATCGGGGCTGGTCCACAGATGCTGTGACATGACATGCGAACGTTCTTCATCGGGCGTCTTCTGATGTATCTCGAAGTCTTGCGTCGAAGATAGACGACGTTCTGGCGGATTATCTTCCTCATTCACAAAGAGTACTGGTGGGTCCTTTGCTGTAAGACGATGAACTCGATTTCTTCTGATACAGCTGAAAAGTAGTAATATGACAAGCACTAACGCGCAAGTAACAATGCCGATAACAAGACCAATACCAATTTCCGCTCCGACTGGAAGGCTGATGGAAGAAATTGGTTGTTCTACTTCATTCCTTTCGATTGAGGATGATGAGGCTGTGTCAGTCAAGGAGGAACTGATATTCAATAACTGATCACGAGCCATCAGTTTGGATCGGGCATGCACTGCAGCCATTATTCATGTGTCAAATAAGCCTTTGATAATATATAGTGAAAAGCATGTCCACAAACTTGTGTGGACAAGAGACAATACAGATTCGATGCATCTTATGAATGATATACAATTTCTCAAGAGATATATAAGCTTGGGCCCACGACGAACAGCAAATATTGAACGACCTCAACGAGGCCAAAGCCAAGGCAAGGTAAAATTTTCGATGTCTTTAGACACTTCAGCCTTATAGGTCGCATGGCCTTTCAAAAGACCTCTCCAGCATTCAATATTGGTATATCTTCAGCTACATAACCAATAGAATCGATTGCGCTTGACTTGTTGGTTTCTAAGCGCCGACTTTTCAATATTGTTAAATTTACCTAGTGTCGAAAGAGCCGAAGATAGTGGCTTGACAATAGCCCATTGAGCATGGTATGATGATATAATGACCAACTTTAAACGTCTTCTGGCCTATAAGGAAAGAATATCTTGACCTTCGCTTCGATTTGGCACGCAATGATATCAGAGTGTATTTCTTGTTTGTACTTTTCTAGAGTCGAACGCTACGCATTGCTTTCCGGGGAGAGGGGCTGTGTTGAAAAGGTTTTTCTACGCGAACATTTGACAATAAGGAACTTGACAGTGTGCAATGAACTTCCATTGCTCAAAACTGTCGCATAAACCATTGCCCAATTGTTTGACTGTATCATGTGCAACGAGCCGTCATTTTTTGATTCCACTCCAAACAGTAGAAAATGTTCCCTGAATTTGGCGAAATAACTGGCTAAGCGCAAGCAGTCGAATGCACTGGACTGTTAAAGTTGGTCGACATCAGGGGCCCTTGGTTAAAGTTGTTCAAAGGTTCCCGTACGCCTTGCTAAATGGAGGTTGTGACAATCTAAGAATCTATGTCCTATGTAAAACTTCGCTAGAATATAATGATGCGACGATGCACAACTTAAGCTATCCACTTCCAAGATCTCTTTTCCACAGAATCAAAAAATCGCACTGCAATAACGCAGAATGTAGCGCCAGACAAAAGCGCAGCATCAAACAAGATCACCGAACGATAGTTTCCTAACTTGCTCTCCCCCAGAATTTTGCCACCAACTGGACTACCAAGCATGGTTCCGAGGCCTCGAACAAAATAGATGAACCCATTCACGCTAGCGTAGGCCTGGAGTCCAAACACTTCCGCCACAGTCTTCCGCATCATATGTAAGCAAATTGGGTAGGTTGAGATACACATGGGTAGGAAAGAAGTGACATACTGTTGGAAATAGAGCATTATAACCACCACCTGCAACTCCATAAAAAACTACAAAAAGTAGCCACAGTGCTTTGTTACCATTTGCAGTAGTGCTCCCTAGCCAAAATCCTAACACCGATATAACGCACAAAATGACTGTCAGAATTAGAGTATTCTGTCTCCCGAACCTATCGCCAGCAAATCCCGTCATAACTCGACTAATAGAATTAATACCGTTTGAAACAGCTAGCAACGTGGCCCCAAAAGCAGACGTGTAGCCTAAAGCCACAGAGTACTCAGCCAGAAATGTGAGCGGTAGTCCGTTGCCTCCCGCTTGTAGGAAGCCAGCTCCAACGCTAAAGATAAACGCAGGCTTTATGGCCAATTTGAGATCGACGTGAGTTTTTCTCCTTCCTATGAATCGTGATGGAGCTGCAGTGGCGGCGATCGGCAAAGCGATTATCAGCACGAGGAAAGAAAGTAAACGGAGCGTCCATCTTGGTCCAATTGATGTCAGAAGAAAGCGTATCAAAGGAGAGAAAACGAGCCCGCCGATACCTGCACCCGATAGGATAAATCCCATAGCTGAGCCACGATGAGTGGTAAAATACTCGGGTGCTGTGCTGAGAATTGGATAGTAGAGAAACGATGAACCGATGCCATATAACAAGCCTTGTGTCAATAAGAGTTGCCAGACCTAGTGAAACAATTTAGCGAATGATAGAGTTAGGAGGGGATTGTGATTATCGAACTTCTTTACAAACACTAGCCAGTCCAAAGCCTAGGCTCATGAAAGCAACTCCCATCATACAGATATGTTTGGAACCCTTCATACCTAGTCTTGCCATCATAGGATTTACCACAACACTACCCGCCCATGTCAGACCAGACCCGAGCGTTCCCACGAAAGCCACCAAGGCGCCTTCGTTACGAGTTGACTTGGGAAGCATGGTTTGGGTTTCGGAGATATAGTAACTCTGAAACACACCATAAGATTGATTGAGACCAATCGTGATACATATTGTCAAAAAGCTTGAGATGAGAATTGTGATTCGTCTTTGGCGAGTTATAGGCCGTAATTCGAACGTGTTTTGAGTCGACTGGGGCTCGTCTACAATTAGAACACCCATTGGATTCGCCTCATTAATTACACGATTTAAAAGGTCTGGGGGAGGATGGGTATCAGTTTCAGGCGCCATCATAATGCTTCAGTATCTGTTTTGGATCGAGGATTACAATATCCAAATTTCATTGGACCATTAAAGGCCCGTTGTAATGATGTGCCTGCAGAGATAGATGTAAGTCAAGCCTATGCAGAGGCGAATATTATGTCTGATTTGATAGATGAACACCAACAAAACTCAGGAGATTGTCAACAATAACAATCGTACAATTATTCTGAAATGAAAGAAGCAATATATATCATAGCGCTTACTCATCTTCATCTGTTAGACTGACCACTAAAACAAGTTACTGCCGGAGATAAGTACGTAGTGGGTGTGTTCATCCGTCAATTTCCGTCTAATATCCTCGGTTATCATAGCAGTACATAAATAGCATCTAGACAAAAAAGATGGAGATCAAAACTCAGATCTGTTTTTACTCGCTCAGGCTCAAGTTGTTCAAAATAACAAGGGATGGAAAGGAATGTATCCAGCTATGGAAATTGTTTATTTTTTGCTCTTCATTCTTTAAGCTCATGGTATATCCCCTAGAATTACAAGGTTTGTTGCGGCCATGGTAATGACAACCCGCACCCTCCTTGAAACGCCCATTTTAATCATATGTTTGCGCTCATATTACATCCCACTGAAATTTTATATTCAATGAAATCAGAATAGAAGAATCTTGATCCCTTCATGACGACACCTATTTTCTAAATGCTGTAGAAATGTCGGCTCTTGTCCATTCAGCAATAATCTCTCCATCATAAACATCTCTGCTGATCGTCAAAATTCTATCGTCGACTCTTTCGTACAACCTCTCGCATTGTTGGTGCACCTTGATAACAAGTTCTCGACTGAGTCCTGGATCATCTGCATCACCGAAATGTTTTTCGACTCGCTTCTTGAGAGTTTCGATACCTTTTCTAATTTCCTTGGCATCATAACCAGCAAGAATTTTCTTGAAAGTTGATTTGGAGTGACTAGGCATTGACGAAATTCTCGAAGCCGATTCACCAGGTTGCCTTGAAAGCATAAGACTCTCAGTGCTTTCTAAGAAATCGAGAAGCTTTCCTAAAGGTCTGCGAATCACAGCACCAAGATACAATGTCATGTGTTCATCCATTTCTTGGCTAGCATTTTCTCGCCATTCTTCAAGTATCGGATTGGAGCGAACATCCACTTCTTCAAGGTAGTGGTTCATATTTTCGATGAGTAAAATCTGATAGTTGAGGGCCTCCTTGTCTTCTGGATCTGCACCTGCAGTTTGGGCACTTGGGTTCTCTCTTGCGATGACTTTTAGAGACTCAAACATGGTTTTGTTCAATCGCGAATATGCATTATTTACGATTTGTCGAACTTCGAGGCCGTCGGCGGACATTAGCATCGTTTCTATTGCCAGCGAGAATGAAGGAAATATCCTTATGAAGCCAATAACACCCTTTCGCTTCTTTATTTTGACTTTGGTGTCTTCAATGGCGCGTATTTGCTCATCGAGAAATTTGTTGAATAAACCCAGTAAACGAGCATGTAGTTTTTGAAGTGTGCGTGCCAGGTATTCCTGGCTTGATTCCTCGAGGTCGACAAGCTTGCGCTCAATTGAAACGAGTATTCCGACACCTTGCCTATTCAAAGAATTAGTTAGGTTTTCTGGTTAGTTTAATGATAGTGGACTTACAATGGATCAGATTGGAGGGACCAGTCTACGAGTGCTTGCATATCACCAGCCCAGAAAGCGTAAATTTCTTCCATGGTCTGCACGACACGTTTTGCCAAGATCCGGTTCGGGTCCATAACCTTTGGCCTTCTCAAGTCACCACCTCGTCGCAAGTCTGGTGGTGCAGCAGCGATGGAATCTGCAAAATCGTGTTGCTCTAGTGATGTGATGTGGAAAAATTCGACGATAAAATTTTGCTCCATGCTCATTATTGGAATCATTTCATCAAGAGCTCCCGTAAATACTTCGTTTGGAGGTAGTCGACCATCCGCCTTGTCTGAGCTAGCTTTGTTGCCGCCATCGCCAATTGGGGATCGTATTTTTGCTAATGTTTGACTTCTTTTTACTGTCAGTTTTCTGGCCGTCGTGGTCGCGAGGCCTTCGGTTTGTTTCTCGGTTTGTGATGTAAACAAAATGTCAGATTCATCCCCATGTGCTTTCCTAGCGATCCGCTTCCAGGCAAAAACAGCGTCCCTGAACTCGTCCTGGTACAAAGGTTTGCATGCAGACTCGTAATCTAACAAAAACCTCTCCCATTCATCGGGGGCAACTTCTCTGGAGAACAACATCAGTGGACTGTATTTCCAAAGTACATTTCTAGCAAGATCATGATGACGTGGGTCAAGTTTGCCCTTCCCAGCTGCTCTGGTGATATTACCACCCTTTTCTCGGTCTGTCGCTTTTCTCGTTTCGTCAATTGCAGCGCGGAATTTCATTTGTAAGAAGGAATACAAGCGCTGAAGAAACTCAACGCTCGTAACTCGGTACACATCTTTTTTCTCTTGTAGGACTCGCATGCTTCCGATTTCGCTATTGCCAAAACCTCCAGTTTTCCCGGAACGAACGCTACCATCTTCGCTTCTTCTGGGACCAGAAATACTGAGTGAAGGATCAATAGTGACCATAGCCTTGAACAATACAACTAAGGATTTTTCAATCAACTCGAGATCATGAGGTCTCTCCAGCGACGCTGTCTTAAGGCATTCAAGCTGTGATGATGAAATCGATATTGTATCCAATAAAGATTGAAGCTCAACTTGCAACAGCTTTTGATTGGCTGTTTGTACTTGCAGACCTTGTGACTGGGCTTCGATATAGGCAATGTCCTCGTTGAGTGTCTGAAATAGTCTATTAATACACAAAGTTTTCCAGAAAAGCATCTATGGGAATAACTTACGCCAAGCTCCACAAGATACAATGTGAGCAAACCATCAAGTTCGTCGCATTCATCCATACATGTATCTAGTCCTCTTTTGATCGCTTCAACTCGCTCATCCTCCTCTTCTAATCGGTTTAACCAGCCTCCAGCTTGAACCTTGTTGAGCTCTCGCTCAACATCATCCTTCAAAGTATCGATGACTTTTATATGAACACCTTCTCCTACCCATCCAAACTCATCCCAAGCATTAACAAGATCGGAGCCTCGACCATCCAAGAAACTTGGGTCAATACCTAAAGACGCTAGCTCTTTTTGCATTGCCTCGGAGGCAGATTTTGGCCGTCTGGGTTCGCGAGCCTTTGGCTTATCGAGTAATCCTGTATCAGATGTTTTTGAAGGACCTTCAACAGTACTAGGTACATCCTTATCAGGGACTGTGATCTTGACTTCTGGAACAACTTCAGGATTAGGTTTACGTGCAGCTGATTTCTCTGGAAGGGCTTCAACTGGAGGAGATGGGACTTCGGGCGAAGCAGCAGGCACAGCGGCAGGTACAGTAGTAGGGGTGGTATTAACTGTAGTTGCACTATCACTACTTAACGCCCGAAGCAAGGAAGGTGCTGGAACCACACCGGTTATTCCATCAGGACCGTTGGGAGATTTAGCTGCCAGTGCTGCTTCTCTAAGACGTTCAGCAGCACCACCAGCACGAGGCTTAAATCCGTTTGCATTTTTGGCGGCCCTAAGGAAAGTACTCGCAATGTCACCCTTGGATTTCTTTTTGATCATTGGTCCTAGGCCTGGGCGCAGTTCCTCATCCTCTTGCTCCTCTGCTGAAGGTGAAATGGGGCTAGTAGGTGAAGCAATGGGAGAAACGGGAGAATTCACAGCCGGCGCAGGTGTAGGAACTGGCGGAGGTTCATTCTTACTGCTGTCTCCCATATCATCGCGAGGTGTTTCCAATGCTGCTGGCTCTGTAAGCTTGCTGTCGATGCTGCCATTTCCATTGGCATTCTGTTCGCGAGGTATCGATCGTTCACTGCTCCGGGTAGGAGGTCGCATATCATCTCTCCGCATACCAGGACTAGCTAATGGCGCCGGCACAATATTGTCCATTGAGTCCACACTACGCAACCTAGATGCATCTCCAATATTTGGCATTGGCGGCCGACGTCTCTCCGGTGGAATAGTCAGTGGAGCAGGCATTGGCGGCGCATCCGCTGACCTGTCTCGTTTCGGACTCGGAAATCCGGCTTCAGGAGGACCACGCTGGGAATTTGGCGTTATGCTCCTATCAGGAAAGCGACCAGGTGTGTTAGCTAGCCCATTGGTACCACCGCGTGAGCGAGGTGGTAAGCTGCTGCTGTCGTCGCTGCGCCCAAAAGACTCCTGGCTTGGATTAGCCCCCTCCAGTCTACGCAGACTTGCTTGACTCTGTTGAGGTGTAACACCAATTAGCTTAGCACTGGGGTTTGGCGAAACATCGCGCGGTGGTCGCATAGGGGGTCTAGAATTTTGTTGTGGGAAAGCTGGACTAGCATTGGGCGGCATTTGACCTGGAGGGCGTTGCATAGCATCTCGGCTAGGTTGGCTACGAAGTACTGGCTCTCGGGACGGATCGCGTTTGAATGGTCGACTTTGATTCTGTTCATAAGGAGAAGATGCGGAAGAGGATGGCTGCTGGGCTTGCGAGGGCCGCCGCATCTCTTGTGGGGGAGGTTGTTGTGGTCGTGCAGCAGAAGAAATACCAGATAACTGTTCCCTTTCTCTTGAGTCGAACCCGATGAGTTCTGGCGCCTTTCCGCCAGTATATTTTGTGTAAATCTTGACCAAGCTTGCGATGAAGAATTGCTTTTCTTTCTGAGTATTGGCCTGCCAATAATAGGGCTTTCCAATTGTTACAATGAATCCCATTCCACCGGCCCATTGCTTACGTTGCTCTTCCTCGGCGCTCGCAGGCACCGCTCCACTAAAAGACTCTACCGCAGATAGATCATCGAGCATCCAAGTTTTGCCTATTGAGAAGCTTCCGTTCGCATTCTCCCTAGCTTTGTGCATACGAACTCGTCCAGATTTGCGCACGGCAACAATTATGAGACGAGGTTTTTTGGCATCTGGATTTGCGTTCAAAGGAGGGGGGTAGAGGGATAGGCAGCATCCTCAATGATTCTTATGTGTGTGATGTATGATTCCAATACTAGATGACCGAGTGGTTAGCTGGTACCTTCAGCGCAAACTGGACTAATCTTACAGGAGCAATCTGGATCCTTTTTCCCAAAACAGCTTTCAATAATTCGTCTCTTCTCATCTTCGAATCTTTCCGCCCTGCTCATACCACTCCTGTCACTGCCAGTGACCCCGCTAGAGCCAGTTCGTGTAGAGCCGTCCATGTGGCAGGCGGAGCCACGTTCGTTAAATCGAGACGACTGTTCTGTGTATCCTTTTCAATCATTTATTCGTGAAGGCGACTTGGGAGTTGTTCTGCAGTTGGCTCGAAAATCATTTTTTGGAATTGTTAAATAGCATTCAAAAGTCACAGCACAACTCACATAGATAGAAGAGTATATGAGGTGCAAGTCAGATATTAGGTTATTTGGTGCTTACAGTTTGACTCCAGCTTTCTAGGTCCCGTTCCCTGACATCAAACCAGCAAGCACACAGGCACCATTAGCATTACATAATCAAGGACCTTCGAGACGGGCATAGTAAGATCCGACCTATGGCAATACCTATCTCACAATTCAATCATCAATGTCAATCAATAATATCAATAAGTTATTTTGTCAGAGAGATCACGAAGAATCTAGTAGATTAATTGAATCTACAGTATTCTAATATCCAAAGAGTCAAGGGTACTTAGGCTTTAAGAATGGCTCCCTCTATGCCTACTGATAAGTTCTTTCACCACCAAATCTTCTTGAATTCTTACCAGGCTCTTGATAGTCGAGGCGGACTCGTACGCCGCATCAAGTCAAATGACACTAATCTTATTGTAGATTAGCCGCTTTTTGTCATTTCTCCCTCCCTTGGGAACTTTTTTTTTTTCTGCCGATAAGCTGTAGTTTTTTATTTTTTGGCGATCAATACCCAACCCAATATATCTTCAATTCCATTCATTTAAGTATGAGGCCAAAGCAGAACAAACGCAGTATGGGGGCGGATAATGCCAATATGCAGGCATTGGGAAAGAGAAGAACACCTGCTGGTCAACCACAACCAGATTGGCTTTTTCCTGCCGGCTCTGGTGCTGATGCCAATCAAGCCCCAGCTAACAAATCTGGCAACGAAGGACGTTCGAAGAACAAGCAGGACAAAAAAATTGCACAAGATCTCCTCAACCGCCGAGATGCAGGCGAACCCCCAAAGTCTGGAATTCCTTCTCATTTACTCGATCTTGTCGGCAAATTCCTCGAACAGCACGAACTCATGCAAACTAGTCGCACCTTGAAGACTGAACGTCGCAACCGAGAGGATGCAACTGCAGGAGGCAACAGCACTACCACCTCCCTTGAAGATATTTACAATGAATGGCAGGCGTCCAAAGAGGAGATTGCGGCACTCAAAGCTGCGGCCATTCAAAAGAACGAAACCCCAAAGCCAAAGGCAGCCAAGGCTTCTTCTGAGGATACCTCGAGCAGCAGTAGTAGCAGCAGTGACAGTAGTGATTCGAGCAGCGAGGAGGAAAGTGAAGAGGAAAGTGATGTCGAGATGGCAGATGCTCCACCGGCCAAGAAAAATGCGTCCCGAAGATCTTCCTCATCTTCCTCTTCTTCGTCTTCGTCTTCCTCGTCGTCCTCTTCTAGCAGTTCCGATAGCGATGCTGATGATGAAGATGATGCGCCATCAGTTGTCAAATCTCCCTCACCGAAACCAAAAGTCAACACTCTGAAACGAAAAGCTACTTCGGATAGCGATTCATCGTCATCCGATTCGGATTCAAGTTCAGAAGAAGATGCCCCGAAATCTAAGAAGGCCAAGACAGCTGCTACCGACAAAGAGTCTACAGCATCTTCATCGGAATCTAGCTCTGAAGACGACTCTAGCTCTTCTGATTCGTCCGACTCCGACTCCGATTCTGACTCCGATTCTGATTCTGATTCCGATTCTTCTACACAATCAATTGCGAAGAAAACTCCATTGCCTGAGTCTGATTCTGATTCATCTTCCGACTCCAGTTCCGACTCTGATTCGGAGAGCGATTCTGGCAAAGTTACAAAGAAAGAGCCAGTGGCTAGCTCAGATACCAGCGAGACTCTTTCCGAAGGCAAGGGCTCATCTAATGACAAAGTCCTAGATCCCCCATTGCCACCGATTCCTACCGCGAAGCTTCCTAGAAAACAAAACGTACCATTTTCTCGCATTCCAAAAGATACCAAAGTCGACCCGAGATTGGCCAGTAACGCATTCGTACCATATGATTATGCGCAGAAGGCTCATGAGGATTTGATCATTACAAAGGCAAGGGTTTCACCAAGGAGAAGAACAAGAAGAAGCGCGGAAGCTACAGAGGCGGTTTCATTGATGTTGAAGGAAAAAAGGGTATCAAATTCGAGGACTAGAAATTTACCTTTTGGATTCGTAGCTCGTTAATGAATGAATGCCAATGTTTTAGCATAAGAAAGATTTTAGACCTTTCAGGCGATCAAATTGGCTGGGTAGCAAAGGAGCGTTTGGCGCAAATTCACATAATAGAGTAGTTTCGCTACATTCATAATACAAAAGTTGTTCTCTGCACATGATAGACTTTCCGACTTCGTCTCCCACACACCGACTTACTCTTCGTGAATGTTTTGAGATCAACCGAGACTGGAAAGCAATGACCACGTCTTGGGGCTTGACTTTAAGACTTCACGTACTCGATGTGTTCATATATTTCACAACAGAACATGTTCTCCACTTAGATGACAATCCTGAAGTGCTTGGGCCGATGTTTATGATACCAGTTTCCCAATCACTCAGAGCTGAGCTCTAGTAGTACTGCATGTGTGAGCTGTACAAGCGCTGATGAGTATTCGGCGAGCTTCGTATAGCCCGTGAGAACAGCAACTGATGCCATCCCCAACGTTAAAAGGCCGCCGGTAATGGGCCAAGCTCGGCTGTCGTCAACTAAGATGGTCAATGTCAAGCGTACCTAGGCAGTCTGTGTATATACTAGGTACCCAGGCAGTAAAAGGTTCCAGTGCCATGGTTACACAAGATCGCCCTCAATTCAGCCTTGCATTGCCATGCTCGGTCGATGATAAGCCTGCTTATCTTGATAACCACCAGGTAGAATCCCCTCATCAACTATCAGCCATTGATACTTCTTTACGATCCCTTTCGAGCTTTTTATAATTATTATAGAGTGTAGCCACGACGTTATTCCTTCCTTACTCGATTCGCTCTTGAACAATCACACACAAAAGAACTCCTTTACTTTGAACAAATTCCAGAACATAATTTGACAACCGCTTGCAAAATACAACCCAACGCAGGTCTAGCGCTCTCATCACACAGGCACGAGGTCTGCAGCCAATAGGGAGCTCTGATCTCTTTCGCAAACACAGTAATCTCGCTCACTGATCAGGGTGGCTGAGTTCTCACAAGGGCACTCGAGCATGCGATCGTGACAATTTTTACAACATCTCCAACAAATGTGGGCGATCTGGCAACGACAATCTGTACGGATACCGATTTATTATCAATCTAGCTTATAATCTTATCAAGCTGTACTGCTTGTAGAACGTCGTGATATTCATGCTGGATGGGATGGGTGTTTTGTGCTCTATACTGAAAGACGGCGAGGAAGCGCCGGGTAGCGAAGTTAAAGAGATCCAGAGAGAGAAGCCGAGATCCAGTATCTTGAAGATGCCTCAATCTGGAAGACCTGGGACAAGAGCAAAGGAAATCTGGCGTCTCGCGATTGAGAAACGAGAATTCAACACTCCAGAAGATTATGATAAAGCTCTTCAGTCTCTTCAGCTGGCTGAACGGAGAACTGCATTTGATGCGAAAGCTGAAGAGTTGGCTTCAGAAGTGGAAAAAAAGGCGGCAAAAATTGTTCAAAGAATCAGAAATTACGATTGGGAAAATACTCATGGAAAGTCAGTCGACGCGAAAGGTCTCGCTACTGAAAAGAGAGCTCAAGGAGAGCACTTTCTGGGAAACGTGGATCTTATCAATGATACGAAATTATTGGAGATTGCAAAACGAATGCCAAAAGGAGCTCACCTTCACATTCATTTCAATTCATGTTTACCAGCACAATTCTTGATACAACAAGCTAGAGATATTGATGCAATGTACATCCGTAGTACTCTACCTCTAACGTCACGAGAAAATTACACAGCTTCACGAATCTCTTTTATGGTAATGACACCCCATGAAGCGACCCACGTGAAAGGAGAGGAAAAAGAAACTTATGTTCCTCTGGGAGATATTACAGATATTGATTATGTCTCCAACAGATGGATGCCATACAAGCAGTTTCAAAGGCAGTTCAATTTTGTCGACGAAAATGATGCAAGGTTGAGCGGCACGACTGGTGCTGAAATATGGCTCGAGAGAAAAATGTTGATTTCGGAAGACGAGGCCCATGGTTGCTCTCAAACTGGTCGCGGGTATGTATACAAGTTCGATGGGAAATTTCATGGCTAACATAATTAGCATCTGGGAGAAGTTTAATTATAGGACTCAAATGATGAAAGGATTATTTGCTTATGAGTCTGCGTTCAGAAACTACACCAAGGAGTGCATTAAAGATTTCGTCAAAGATAACATCCAGTATGCTGAGATACGCCCAAATTTTATGGCTACGAATTCCCTCAAGTCTGATGATGGCACAAGAACTATTGGCAATGAGGGGATTATGAGTATCATCAACGAAGAGCTCCACCGGACTATGCAGGAGATTCGAAGTAAGGGCCAGTACTTCGGGGGCATGAAAGTCATTTATTGCACACCTCGCTCATTTGATAGAGGCAAAATTGAAATAGCTTTAGACGAGTGCATTGATTTAAAGAAGAAGTATCAGAAACTACTTTGTGGTTAGTCTGCTTCAAATGTCAAACCTACACACTTCCACTAATGAGAATCTAGGGTTTGATCTTGTGGGCCATGAAGAGATGGGAAACGAGCTTCGACATTTTGTGCCCGAGTTTCTTGCATTCCGTCGGAAATGTCGAGACCAAAAACTAGATATCCCATTTCTATTCCATTGTGGGGAGACGCTAGAGGTTGGCGGAAAAGTGGACGGCAATCTTTTCGATGCGATATTACTAAACGCAAAGAGAATAGGGCATGGTTATGCAGTCGCAAGACATCCTATTCTTATGGAAATATTCAAAGAAAAGAAAATCGCCATCGAATCATGTCCTATCTCTAACGAGGTTCTTGGCCTCACTCCGAGCATTGCGGGACACAACCTTCCGGTATTACTGGCAAACGATGTGCCTTGTACGATTAATAGCGATAATGCTACATTCTATAGGCATGTTCTCTTAATTCCCATCGAACAAACGATCACTAACAGATAATAGATCATCCTTATCTCACGACTTCTATCAAGTAATGATTGGCTCTGAATCAATGTCTCTTCATGGCTGGAAGCAACTTGCAGAGTGGAGTTTAGAATATAGCTGCATGGACGACGAGGAGAAAAAAGACGTTACTAAGGAATGGACCACGAGATGGAGAGATTACTGTCAGTGGATTGTTGATAAGTACAGTTGGGTAAATGAATGGACACCAGCATCTGATCGACATTAATTATTTACCAAGACGATCGGGGAAGCGATTGAAGTTACACGACTAGCGTGCCTTGTCCAGGCTCTTTCGTTGATTTCAACTTCATTTTATACCACCGACTGCATGTAAGATGAAGCTGTGGCCTGGGAATCAGAAAATGGGTGGAGCGAGATCATTGTGGGCGTTGAGGCGCACGAGATTTTGATACACGAGTCACAACGAGAGACGACTTCTTACTTTGGATTTTGGGTGTATTATTTTGATTATTATACTTGATGACTTTTACTACGTTTTTACCATATTATTTAATTATGAGATTCTGGTCTCGAAATTTGGCCCCCCGTATATCTATCGTTGAAGTTGTAAAAACCCTAACTTGAATCTGACATGAGCAATAAGAAAAGAATGACTTCCAGCCATCACATTCAGCCTCGAAACGATCACATGCCTAGACGAGTACCTGCGGGTAGGCATCTACAAATACCTATGTAGTATGATTTCGGGTTCCAAGACGGCACCACGGCATTATTGAATAGCTGGTCATTGTTTGTTATCCAATCGATCATTTGGTGGTGACGGAAAATAGAAAAGAGATTCGATATATGCAGTAGGTGCTCGTGTCTTATCAACCATGGATAGATCCATTTTACCAACCGTGAACGCCGCGCCGCGTATAATAAATACCCCTTCATTTGCGAAAAAGGAATGATCATTTCCTCCCATAATCTAAATGATTGGAAATAGGTTCAAACAAGTCGCTTTTCTTCTTCAGAGTCCCCTTTTGCTGTGCCGCCTCCTTACCTCTTTCTACTGCAATCCGAATTTCGTGCATGCATAGCCGCCGAATGTAGATTTTGCTCATCTTGAATGTATGGTAGAGAAAGAAGAGTAGATGTGTTGACAAGCGGAAAATCAACGGAAAATCTACAAACGAAACAAAAATTAGATGAACATGTGGTTAGGAAACCTTGAAAATGCGAAAGAATGGGGTACTAAAGGGCACTGCTAGTCTCTTGAGGGTATTAAATATCCACTTATAGGGCTTGGCTTACACTATTACATGGATTTAGTTTAGATGGGACTCACGGGAGAGAGTCACTGGGACTTTAGAGTGGTCTGAACGCTGAACGGACGCTAAATACTAGGACGTAATCGCTAAATTCCCATGACAATTTCAAACTTTCGAGGTTTCTGAGAATATACAAAGTATTCCAATTATCTAATCATATGATAAGGCTTTTTTCAGTAGCCAAGAAAGGATATCCAAAGTGTATCTCATACCAAGCATTTCCAAACTCCCACAAGTTCCAAATTCATGGCACCGCAAACACCGCAAACAAACCTTCATCATATAAAAGAAATGTGCGTAGTAGGCTGACTAGGTGGGTGTGCAAATAGGCACAGCCCTCTGAAACATTCCCTGTAATGGTATCTCTGATCTACGCGCTACTGGCTCCGCGTTTTTCAGCTCCCAGGGCTTACGAGACGCGGTTACCCTTTTGGGCTCCTTGTTGAAGATGGAGGGGGTATAGAATCGGATGAAATATACTAGGTAGGCAAGCTGGCATGAGGCTCTGTGGATTTTTTTTTTTTTTTTCTTAATCTTCCCCTATGAACAATAAATATACGAGGACTTCTTTTCTTGGGGGAGCAAAGTGTCGAACAAAAATAAAAAGAATAAGGTATTGAAAGAGTGGTCTTTGAGAAAGTGAAAACTGAAATTTGCAACTTCAAGACGTGTGTGAGAAAGGAGGAAAGAGAAACAAAACGGGAGGCACGGTTATTACACTGAACTCTAAGTCGAACCTCGAAGACTCGAGACGACAGCCATCAGGCGTTAGACCGTCAGCACAGTATAGGAGATGACAAATTCATGGTTTCCCTCAGGGAAAGAGGTTCGGTATGTTAGATGTCATATCATTATTCGCATACTTCTCATATCCTGTCCATAGACTAACAACTACCACAGTGATGGATGGCGATTAGATATCGTGTCACTTTTGGCAGTCATAGGGGAATCTGCCATGGCTGATCACTCTCAGACTATGACCTCATCGTGGATGTGCATGCTCCCTCGAATCATTCCCGCCCCACAAGTCCTCCTCAAATCTTCGCGTCCCTCTCGAATGCCACAAGTCAACGCTGCTGTGGTCGGTGTACACAATGGAGTATATGTGCAATCACTCAACTTCTTCCCAAACATCATACATCCAATAGAAGAGCTCAAGCCTTTCGAGTTCAAGGTCTTCGAAATCAAGCATAAAAATGCCCCTCCTCCGGTGGTGACTCCACCTACACCTGTGAACAAGGAGAGGCAGGTTTCGGCTTCTAGCAGTATCGAAACTTCACATTTAGAGAGCGGCACGACGCCTCAACCTCGACGTCGGGATACGCTCAGAGCCAGAATCACCCATCGTGGAACCAATGTCGATGACAAGAAACCCCACGTACCAGCTAAATTTTGGTCACCTCTCAACTGTCTTTCTCTGGTATCATTCTTATTGACCATTGGACTTTTTATATGGGCGGCATTGACCCATGATGGAACAGCATGTGTTGCACTCTTTACTATCTCCCTTGCCTCATCAATTGTCGGTTACGCATCTTATTGGTCACCCGCTCTCATGAATCGCAACAACAACAGCAAAGTTCCGTTGGGCGATGTCGTGATCCGCACCAGGGAAGGAGCATTCATCGTAGTCAGATGCGATGAAGAAGTTGCCCGAGAACTATATAACGGAACTGAGGAATGCCAATACTATGTTGACACAGATCCCTACCGAGTACTTGTCGGCATCGGTACTTGTCTACTCATGGTTTCGGTCGTGCTTCTTGGAAATTGTGATTTCCAAATGCAAATTTCTATTGGTGCGTCCTATATTGTTCTCAACGGTGCATACTGGGCGGTAGCTTTGATGAACAAAAGGAGATTCTGGGATCTTTCGAGCTATGAATGGACGGATGTTACACCTGAATCTGCGCAAGGAGCAAATCTGGAGCAGGACGCAAACGATGTTGAAGGAAGGCCGTCTTTCACTAGAACATTATGGTACGCGATCCGAGAGACAAAGAAAATCGGATGGGTGAAGACGAGTGGGGCTGCACCAACGACAGCGAAGTGGGAGAAATGGCTAGAAAAAGCAGAAATCGCGGCTGTCAGTGGAAATCTGAGATGGGATGCTGTGCGCCAAAAAGATGCAACTGTTGGCGAATCAGATTCAGTGCCGCAAGCTGAAGCAGCATTCAAAGATACGGCTACCGAGCATGCGCCTGCAATCCAAGTTCCGGTACAAGATCGGATCGATACTGAGTGAATATGCGACCGACGCTTATTACCTATAAATATAGGAAATCGCCTACCTCCAGCACCAACTCACGGGCCTGATGGCGCAGTAGGCAAGTCCGTGTTCCAAATGAACGCCTGATGAGTTGGTGTAACAGAAAAAACGTACGGAAAGCCGATGTTTCTGGGAGCGACCCCAGTTTTGCTATTTTGATGGTCTATTTTGATTTATTTTGGGTCTGGAGGACGTCATATGATAAATTGATGGATGGATTGAGATGAGTGATAATAATTTGAGAAATGTGTTCGAGATACCCTGATATTGAAGAGATGACTACACGGTCACTTTGAAGATTGATTAATAACTGGATGGTTTAAGTTGGTAAATTTAGCGTTGCATTCTTGGCTGTTTTGTGGGAGGGAAGAGATCTCGGTGCGTTTTTAGGGCTACTTAGATATCACACCTTTACTTTTGCTTCCATCTAGTAAGTAGTACAGTGGTTATCATCATTGCTAGGTCAGTTTAGAGGCTAGAAGAGATGGATCAATAAAACTTCATGTATATGTTCAGATGACAATGGGTGTTGGTTCGAAGAACTCTCTCGTGTTTGTGCACTGGTCTAAACTATCTATCACCTTTCCCATTGTTTGAGTTTCAACGCCCTAGATTTGTCTTGTTTGTTCCCCTTCAATATCGCTATGTTCTCTATTTGAGTTTCAATTCATCACCTTTGTCCCGTCTTATCTAGCTCTTGAATCTTCACTCGAAGTCCTCCGATTTCGCTTCTTTCTATGCTAGTGCTCTCAGCTCGTCTCCCTCAAAAGTGTTTCCATTTTAATCTTACTTCTCCATCTCCAACCTATCTACTTCGATCTCTCGATCTTAGTGTCTTGACTTCCACCCCTCCTCCATCAATTTAATCCAACAGTCTTCAAAGATAAAAGAATCAAAACAACAATGGCCACTCCAATTGAAGCAAGAGTGAGTATCCAGTTCAGATTCGCTAGTGGCACAATACTGATAGAGTGATAGAAACCTCATGATATAGTCATTGACCCAGAAGGTGACGTATCGATACATCTCATCAAGGAGGAGACCGCAAGACACCCGGTAACTGGTGAAAAGTCTACCATGGAAACTACAATCGCCCGTTACAAGGTCTCGAGGAAGATTCTCAGTGAGAGTTCTCCAGTATGGAACGTCTCACTTCGAGGACATTTCCGAGAGAGCAGATCATCCACCCTACCCGTCTATTTTGGCACGTTGAAGAGTTTGGAACTTTGGTTTCGCATCGTTCACGATGTCATGGTTGATGAGATGTATGATCTTAAAGTCGTGGACGTATATGAGGCCATTGAAATATGTGGAAACCGCGAGTGGGATATCTTCAAGTTGAGCAAGTCGACCTGGGCCAGAGAATGGATGAATCGTCAGAAGTACAGGGAGTTATGTCTTGATGGGATGTGTCGACTCATCTATCTTGCTAAAGAGCTGGACTTCCCCAGAGAGTTCATGTACATGACTCAAAAATTGGTGTATGGAACAGCAGAGCACATCAAAGATAAAAACCCAACAAAGCATCAACATCTCCATCTTGATCACACTGTCATTAGTAAGTTGGATCATTATTCTTATTCGAATTGATTTCTGATGTACAGCACAGATGCACTCAACGGCGCCAAGGGCAATCTACGCTGTAAAATCCTCAAAGGACTCTTCACACCCGTCGGTGGGTTTCTTGAGCAGAGATGTGAATGCAAGAAAAATTCTCTTTACGAATTCTGCATTGGCCTCTCGCTGACTGGGATCTGGCCTTTGGAAACTCACATGAGGAAGTCAGCTCAGGAAATCCTCGATACTTTCGATGACTTCCATTGCGATATACCCGAGAATGCGTGTAAAACATGTCGATTTCGACTGAGCGATTCATCTATTGAGAGAACTGGTGAGCAGGTTCAGGAGCATTTTGATGGTCTCTGTCTTGATTGTATGAGCATTTCTAAGCCAAAGGATGGTAAGAATGTCGATGCCGCTTACTGGCAGCATGATACTCTTAAGCAGTATAGCATGGGATGCAGAGTGCAACATGATCAGCCGACATGGTATTGGTCATTCATGGGCCGGAGAACTCAGATGCAGGCACACCAGGCAGCGAGACAGAGATAGAGAATGTTTGGATGGTCGACTTCGGGAAAATGGATCGTGGTGAGATATTATGATGCGTAAGGGAGGTTTTATGGTGGATTAAATGTCAGCTATGATGGGTCAAAACGTTTCGACCGTTGAAGACGACCAAGATGATACACAAAAGTACAGCGTTGGTTTTTATAGTTTCAATGAATGGTTCTTCACAAAATATGGACAGCAGACTAAACTATCTTCAAAATTTCTTCTGCACCTCCATGGCTTTGACTAACATCAAAGAAGGCAAATCTCCATACTACCCTGACCGCACTGGCGAGCCCCTTTTCACTTCATCTTTCCAAGCAAAACCACCATATCAACCTATCATTATCGAATTTTTCGATAGATGCTCCTTCACTGGTACAATCTATCACTGGGCATACTGCACTTTTGCAACCACATATACAGTACTGATGAATCAAAACTCGTCGAAAATTCATCAGTGTAACAATACCCAACTTCGAAATAGTTAAAGTAGGTATACATAGCTATCACCCCCTCACAAAATCCGAGAAAGAAGGAGAAGAAACACAGAACGAATGAAATCACCAATGGTACTATGCACACGTATTATCCAGAAATCTGAAGTTAGTCAAAAAAAAAATGCTATAGGAAAACGACACGCTATACATCGCTTTCTGTAAGAACGCCGAAGTTCACCAGCGGTCATCCCATCGCAATCTCGCAGGCGAGGTGATTGATGTAATACAAATCGATTTAAAGGATATGGGCTGGATACAATGCCTATATAGATACTCTTAGCACTTGTAGAGGATGATTCAGAAAAGGTGCAATGACACATGAATTCAGTTCCTCCTTCACCACTTTCTCAGAAGACGACGGAAACCGAACGAATCACAAGTCGTTCGCAGGATAGATTTTGTATTATTTCCTCCCCACTGTATTATCTTTCATCGGAGCCCAAGGGATCATCTAGCGGATCCACGAAACTTTCGCAAAATGTCCTTGTAAGTGATCGACCTGTTCTGATTGATCAAGCTCTCCAAAAAGACCTTTGGTCCATTAGTTTCGCCAATTTCCTTAATTTCTTCTTGTTTAAGTAACGCTGAGCCCTCAAACCCACTATCCTTCTTCATCCAAATCCTCTTCTGTGCCAAATAAAGTCATTCACATCACCAGCACTCATTGCAGGCTCTGGAGCTGGCCACAGAAAGGGAGAAGCTATTCTTAGGAGATGATCGAGATGATTGTAACTCTGCTAGCGCTGCTAGCGCAGCAAGCTCATCTAGGTCCTCTGTTGGGCTAGACATCATGGTATTTATGTTTTTCTAGCTATCTGGAGAAGTTAGTGGATTCGATTTTGTTTTGGTGAGAACGGAGGAATCAACCACGTGGGTTGTGAAACCAAACATGATAATCACAACAATTTGCAGTCACTAGCTAGTAATTATCGCAAGCCTATTGACTAATGGTCTGAGAAGAAATGCAGAACAAAGGGGCATGTGTTGAATATACTTTCCGGGCAAAGTGATGTGCCTAATCCGATTTGAAGTCCCGGAGGAGAAAAGGCAACCAGATGTTGTCGAGGCCCAGACAGACCATGAGTCGTCCTGCTGGATCAAATGACGACCCATGATTGGCTGTAAAGAACGAATGAGTGATTTGAAAAGAAGACTTCAGGCGTTGATGCCGAAAAGATGCTCATTTGCTCATTTTTGGGTAGCGTTAGTGGCAAGTTTTAGATTGGATGGTAAGACTACTCAACCTACCTCGCGTATGTCTTGTAATCGCTTTCTTGATTTCGCGCCGCGTCTCAGTGATGCCACCGAACTCTTGAGCCCACAGTAGAGCCACTCATCATCGATCTGCCAGCTCAAGTTGCCAATGGACAATTTCTCGGAAACACATGCTCTTCGGTAGTCAGTCTCCGCGGACCTTGTCTGATCAGCAGATGCCTCTGGGTGGAGGTTCCTTTGAACCTTGCTGGTTTTGATTGTGGTACTCTTTTGACTGACAGAGGGAATAAATTGAATTGTTTTATGCATGATGATGAGGGGAATAATTCTAGTAACGCAGACAAATGCTTCCAGTGATGTCGGTGTTGTAGTACATGGATTAATTTCACACAAGTCAAAGTTTCAGGGGGTTGAAGGAAAAGGCAATTAAAATACTCCAGAGGAAAAATATTATCTTCAAATTGCTTTGTGAGTTGCTTAATCGGGCTGGATGCCAATCAGACTACGAGGACATGTTTTGGCCAACTAAGCAGGTATCATAGCCCAAGCAGCTCTCCATAAGTAGCATAAGTAATTTGCCTGTCACGTATTGTACGGAAACCAGATTTCAAGGGTATCAAAACAATCATTATGGTAAAATACATACATGGAGACACTATACAATCACAGCTTGCTTGTTGGTTGAAAGAGAGATGAAGCTTTGTTCAATGTCTCCACGGCCTCCTTCTCGATTCTCTTACAAAGTACCTCACACGTGGGAATGTCGTGAATGAGACCAATTACTTGGCCTGCGGTCCAAACCTAAAAGATAATTAGTTTGTGAGGTATGAGTGTTTAGATATTGATACGTACTCCGTAGTCGGGATCTCCAGTGGTAAAGACTTCTCTACCTCTCTTGCCGCTCACATAAGGAGCAACCTCCGCAAACTCTCCAGTCTTACTCTCTTGTTCAATCTTTACTGCCTGTGCAGTAACCTTATTTTTGTACAAGCGAGAGGTGTTCTTCCATCTTCGAAGAACGAGCTGAGTATCAACTTCAGAAGCCTTGACAATCTCTTTCTTGATGTTCTCATGTATTGGTGCTTCGACGGTACACATGAATCGTGTTCCCATATTGATTCCTTCAGCACCGAGGGAAAGCGCAGCCGCAAGACCTTGGCCATCGGCAAATCCACCAGACGCAATGAAAGGGACTTTTAGCGATTGTCTAGCTCTGCTTAGGAGGATGAAGTTCGTGATATCAGTTTCACCAACATGCCCAGCACATTCGAAACCATCGATGCTCAGAAAATCAACCCCGAGCTTCACTGCACTCTCTGCATGTCTGATGGTCGTACATTTATGTAGAATGATTATTCCAGCAGCCTTCAACATCTTTATGACAGGGCCTGGACTATTTCCTGCTGTTTCGACAACTTTAATTCCCTCATCGATAGTGACTTGTGCGTATGCACCGTAACTGAAAGAAATCACGGGTCAGTTTGATTTTGCAAGTTTTGCGGCTTGACGACCATATTGTACTCGCGATACACAGACACGGAGCAAACGGCGAATCAACATGAGATGAGATTGAGATCTGCGGAAACTTACTCCGGGGGATTAATCGAGGGTAACAGTGTGATATTTACACCAAATGGCTTCTTTGTCATTTCCCTACATCTTCGGATCTCCTTGCGTAGATCTTCTGGAGTGGGTTGCGTTAAAGCTGTGAGGATACCCAACCCTCCGGCATTGCTCACGGCGCTTGCTAACTCCGCATATCCCACCCATTGCATACCACCTTGGACAATAGGTACTACATAATCCCGAATCAATGATCTGTCGTTCGGAAGAGTACATGAGGGTGTAACTTACATTCGATACCCAAGGCCTGGGTGAGTTTCGTGTTGAAAGGCATGATGTCGAGGATTGCTAACGAATGATGTGATGAGATGTAGGTTTGTCTGATTCAACAAGTGTATCGAATTAAATGTATGGTCTATTCTAATATCTCTCTTTATGTCTAATAATATGATTCAAGAGAACGATTGTGATTCGAAGTCTAAGAACAAAATATGTATGGAAGATGTTAAAATAATAAACGGTTGGTATTGTAGGTAACAAGCTCCTTTCCCCACATTCTTTGGACCGAGGCACGGCAACTAGGCCTAGGCTATACCGGCTCACACCTGCTAGTTCTGTCTTCTTGAAGTTCTCCAGATTACGGTAATCAGCTGGACCCCATCTCATCAGATTATTGCTCCGATGCAGACTCTCTTTGTACGGTCCAGAGTAAATTGTTGCTTTTGTTATTTTTGTATCTTCTTCCTAAAATTTCCCTGTCTTATGATTGTTCACACGTACCTCAGGGCAACATTCTTTCTACTTCAACACTGTGAACATAATTTGGTGGTGTATCATACAGTCACGTGTCGTGGTTCTAGACATCGAATAGGTCGCACCGCCAATTTCACGTATTTCGCATGAAATTGGGGATACAAATCACTGAGACGAGTACGGAAGACTGTTCCTGATCGTCAAACCACCAGAACCTGCCGAGTAATATAAATTACATGCTAGTAAATGTCGTCCGACGAAGGAATGATATTGATGAGTAACTCTTCAATTATCCTCAAATATTCGAACACTTGGGCAGCAACAGATTCTAGATCCAGTCAATGCGCTGTCGAAAATAGGGCTGCTCAGGTGTTGATAGACAAGCCTTGAATATACTTGTCCTTCTCTCACGCCGCCACGCAATATTATCTATGAGCAAAATGTTTCATTATTAGGTTGTGTACTTCACGGCTCCCCTCATTATCAACTGCCTTGTTGAACGGACAAAGCTCCGTCGATCCAACGTATGCTACGGCGGTTAAGTAAGCGGAGCACCCGACGGGGTGCGGCATGTTATCCTCTGGGTAGTTTTTGCGGGCTCCCTTTATTCTACGAAGTAAGCTGTTCTTTTCTTTAACCTTTATCGAGGTGACACAATCAGTCCACTTGAGAATCCCAATTGGAAGTATCTGCCGTACGACTGTTATTTCCAAGTCTTTCTAGACGAAATGCACGCATCTATCCGTTCTCCAGGTTTCATGAAGCTAGACACACCCTTTGCTCATCTTCATAAACGTCTAATCCAAGCTTCTGGAATCTGGTTGGTACATTAGGGCGGTGAAGTGAGAAGCGGTGGACTCACCGTTGAAGAAGCCGCAGGGCTGAGTGCTTGATTCAATGTACAGATGTACTTATCCGTTGCTATCACTGGGGTATATACTTTTACCCCAACCTACCCTGAAGATCATTGATCAATATGTATAAATATGTATGTAAGCACCCGTTCCTGCAGACACCTCGATCTCATCTCTCCGGAACTCTACAGTAGTGGGAAAGGGAAGGAAATTGAAGATTGAAGATTGAAATCTGGCATACCATTACACTTTTTTCAATGCTCCGAATTGACCAATCATGTCGTACAACTGCCGGGTAATATATGGCTTTGTCTATTATGGTATATCTATATTTGCAAAGATTATGGATACTGTGGTAGAGAGTCCGAGGTCCTACAAACTTATCATTTTTCCTGTTTTGGGAAAAAGTAAAACAAATCTGGTGAGAGATATCAAGTCTCAGTACTTAATCAATTGGCCTGAAATCAGCTAATACTAGAGGTAGTGGTACTTTCTACATCTCGGGTGCGTCTTCCTGCAGCTCATTTTTTTTCTGGCAAGGTTTGGCACTTTGCACTCTTATTGGGCTTCTTTTATGGAGAGCTTTTTTTTTCTATCGTCACCTTCTTGCATATGATCCGCCCCTCTATATGCACCTTTTGTCTTCCACCCCACATACTTCCATACACACTACACATACATACATACACATATATGCCAGCTTTCATTTCAGTCTTCCAATGCCCCATGACGATCCGAGACTGCAAATTACTGCAGGTGTCTCCAGCGTTGGCTGGAGCATCTCCACTCACTGCTACTGTCTCAAGCCTCAAATTGCTTTTTCTACACTTTACCGAAGCTGTCAGTAGGAGGTCACACATGAGCTGTCCAAACCACCGATGGAGACAACACACACGGCTCTAAGCTACGGGCGATCGACGTTACTTCTTTGAAATATATTTCATCACGCCGAGACAAATTCCAGAGTCAAGCTGCCGTGTTGCACATGGGTATGCAGATGCAGAGCAATCCAACCTTATTTGACTGCCACCTCACAGTTTCATATCATTCCCAACACTCCTTCTCCTTCGTGAAGACTCTGAAGAGTACATGCGGATCATCTATAAGACCAGCTTCAATTCCTGCGGAGTATAACGCCATTTCCGAACCCGCTCCCCACTGTTTCTCCTCCACATCACTAGCACTCAATCTCAGATCTAGCTTGAAAGCTTGAACACTTTCAGACCTTCTAGTACGAAATCACCACTTAAGATGTCTTATTCATCATACAGTTCTGGCTCAGCTACATGGCAAGAGAAGCTCGAAGGTAATGAAGCAATTCGTGCTATGAATACTGAACATTAAATTGACTGATTCCATCAAGAGAGATGTCGCGAGGCACAAATTCGTCCTCCAGTATTTCAGATCGTGTCAGATAGAAGAGGTAATGTCATTTCACCTTCCACTCAAGACCGAGTCTGCAGATAACCGACTCTAACACTTGTTTCAGGCGGACGAACAGCATGGTCTAGCACAGTAACTGTACAGGGCCAGAATATTTCTGCACGATTCTGGTACGATGGGCAGTACGTCAACAATGCCAAAGAGGATGCAGCAGAAGTGGCACTCAATCGTTTGACTGGATCGAGCCCAACCTCACCTATTCAAAGTCGAATGGGTGGTAATTACAACATGACCTAGAACTACCGACACTGCGGCCGACGATTCAATTTAGCCTGTAGGATAAGAGATGATAATAGGATGATTTGCCGTTTGCTGCAGCCTCGGCAAGGATGGGCGAATGCCAATAATACTTCAGGCGTGGGATGGTTTTCGCCGTGGATTTTCACAGGACAACAAGGGCGCTGGAGTTTGAATGCGTACATGTTATTCCCAACAGTTTTCCGGATATGTTTTTCTTCTTGGGAGGTGGTGTGAAAAAGCTTGTTTTTTTTTTGAGAGATATGGAATATCTTTTATCTCTTCGAACCATGGAATGGTTCCACAACTTGTTACTAGCAATAAAAGTGGATGTTCTCTTTGAATTATTAAGACATGAAATGAATTAGATGCTCACTTACACATCGATTTATGACCCGTGTGGTGGTTATTCAAGTGAAGTTCTTACTATCAAACGTGCAAAAGTAGAGGTCGACGCCGTCACAGGGACTCGATGTCACCGTAACACATATCAAATTCCATGAATGAGTTGAAATATTGTTCTAGCCCTGATCCATGTTGTTTGACAAGAATATTCAGACCCAGCGTTGTGGTTCTGTGGTTCAGCCCAAGAAAGATCGTCATTGCCCAAGATGAATTTGATGCCTTATTAGGCAGCCACACGAAATTTTGGTTAGTGCATCAATTCGAAGTTGATATCAAGTGCGGAGAAAGTATCTGGATTTCACAACATCCACAACCATGCCTCCACGATTGAACTTTCACAGCGCAAGCAGGTCACTGACCATTCGACCACGAACAGTTGTCGCACCTCGAAATCCTGCTTTCTTCAAAATTACCCCGGCAGTTCGTCGAGGTTTCGCAGAGGGGAAGCAACCTCCAAGAAATGGGTCTGATGAAGATGTAGCCGGCCACGTCAGTGAAGAGGCAAGAGACATGGCTGAAATCACTGGAGAGACTCCTCCTGATATGGGAAAGAGTACAAATGTTCAAGAGGTATTTACGTTCTTTTCTGGGGGTCCAATTTCGCCAATCATATTTGAAAAATGAAGAAGCATAGTGATACCAGAGAATAACAGTTACTAACCATATGCATAGATTCTTAAGAGAGACCAAGAAGGAAAGGATAAGGCCCCAGAAGTTATCAAAGAAGATATCAAAGATACCCAATCCGCGTCTGCCCTCTCCCAAGAAATCTCCTTTGCCAATCTCATGGCTCTTGGCCGTCTCGGTCATTTGGAAAATGGCGCGAATGCCTCCGATCTTACAATCGATGGCCACAAGTTTGGACTTCCAGAGTTACCAATTCCTTCGAACAACAACCTCAAATATAGATACGATCCCGTCGTTTCGCAGGTTACGAACATGATGATGCAGCATGGCAAGAAGAGTGTTGCCCAGAGGGTAGGCTCGTTAGTTCTTTCCTTTTGCGTTACTCGCTGCGCATGGGATTTATGTTATGACATTGCAGAATAATTTGCTAATTTATGATGTTTTCAATGCAGAACATGTCTTTCATATTAAACCATCTCCGAACCGCCTCCCCACCCACACCCAACCCCGCCAAACCCCTCCTTCCGGGCACACCCCCACCATCCCACCTTCCTCTAAACCCCGTTCTTTATCTTACTACCGCTATCGACTCCATAGCTCCTCTCTTACGTATTCGTTCTCAGAAAGGTGCTGCAGGCGGTGGAGCTTCTCTTCAAATTCCTGTACCCTTGGGTGTTAGACAGAGGAGAAGACAGGCTATCAAATGGATATTAGATTCGGCCAGCAAGAAACAATCGAGGAGTAGTGGGCGTGGAATGTTCGCACAAAGGTTTGCAGAGGAGATTATTAGTGTGGTGGAAGGCAAGAGTTCCGTTTGGGAAAAGAGGCATTTGGTACATAAGACTGGTACGAGCGCGAGAGCAAATTTGACCTTTTATTCCAAAAGAAAAAGGTGAAAAGTTATCAGATTGGGCACGGCATGGGATATGGGAATGGGTGTACTTGGTGCGGTGGGGTTGTAAAATTATTGTATTATGACATCGAAAAAATGGTACATGCTACATGATACTTGGGGGTGCATATGATATCAAAATCTATCCATACGTTTGCGGCTTTTGTCGTATTGAACTTGCCTCTTTTCCCAACCTCGTCATTTCAGCCCTCACATCTTCTTTTTCATTTCTTAACTCGATAAAATGACCTCACCTCCGCAAGTCTTGCCATCCGATAGCGTTTTATTTTTCCTTTTTATTGAAAGCTTGAGCTCTATCGAATTCGCTAACTCACTATTGGTTAATTCGCTTTGAAGTGAGCGGTGAGCATCACATATACTCACCAATTCCATGACTTTTTGCAGCCACACTTCGCATCTACTACATATTCATGGATACCTGAGTATCATGCGCTTATCATGCATTAGGTTCTGAGACTTGACGGTGAGGATATGAGAACGTTGCGATGTGGCGTATACGGTACGGTATCTTTGCTTTTTGCGGGAGCGAGAAATTGGTTGCTTCGCATGGCGTGGGATTGGAGGATAAGGAGGTGAGATGCTGGGTGTGTATATTGGTGAGGAGCTGGGGCGCTGGATAGCGTTCCGGCTTGGGGCTTGAGGGTATGGGATGGGTTGGGATGGGATGGTTTTGGTTTTAGGGGTGAGTGGAGGGTTGGGATGGGGAGTTGCACGTGCAAGTTGTTGAGATGTTTACTGGTAGGGCGGGTAGTGGTATTAGTGTAGTGCTGACTGGTTGAGAGAGTTGGCAAACGGACTTTTGCGTGGGTGCAGACAGCATGTTGGTATGGTGTGGTGAGAATGGAAGAGAAAAGGAGGTGGAACGAAAGGTGGAGATAAGGTTGTTGCAGCCGGTGGTAGCAGGGCTGAACTAGATATGAAATGGGAAAGTAGAAAAATAGCTTAGACATGAGGTGTGGCACTGGCATATGTGGATAAGGGGTCGACGTTGGAAGCATGGACGTGTCATTGTCATTGGAGGTATCTGGGTTTGAATTGTGCTATCATTGCTCTGTGGCTCAAGACGCCTTCTTGGATTAACATTAGATCAAAGTCTAAAGAGGGTTTTAATATTCGATATATTCGATATATTAGGCAGTTGGAAAGACTTCTATGTAAACTGTACTGCCACACATGCAGTTGGATGTTAATGAACTTGATATTAAACATGACGTTGTGGTGTAGCTGAATGGTGTGCTAAATGAATTCTACTTTCTGATGCAACGTATCCATACCAACGAGACTACTGATCGAGATAAAGAAGTTGTGCTACCTACCCAAGATCACTCGATGATCTGCACGCGTAAATTGACCATCTCCGATAGATTTTCGATATTCATACCTAGGTAGATGATCCGAAAGATATCCGAGGTATCTGTATCTCGGAGGACTTTGGGGGGATTTTCCTGTTTGGGGAAGATGGAGGGGTACTTACTTACTTATGTTGGAGGGTGGTGTACAGCTTGTACAGGGGCGGTACATAGGTGAGGTATACATGTGCTCTAGTGAGAATTGTTTGCGCAAAGTTTGTTGAGGACTTTGGTGGATGATTCGATTTGTCAAGAATTGAGTCATGCTTTGCGTGATGGTGATGATGTTATGGATTGGGAATTGTGATTTGGGAGTCTAGAAGTTGCGACCGTGTAGAGAGTAGCAAATAGTGTGGCGTGCTGGCAGGCTTGGTACTGGAGCCGAGCGAGGGGAGAGTTGTGTGTTTTCAGCTGTAGGGCATGGAGAGAGGAGAGAAGACAGAGGGAGGTGAATGACAGGATGAAAGATGTGCCGGTATGCAATGCCAAGGGTTGGGGTGGTGCATGCAGTCGCTGATGTTGTGTCGTGGAGGGGTGAGGATAAATTGTCTGGGGATGGGAGGAGTGGAGTGAGGATGAGGTGAGGCGGGGGTTGGCACGATGATGGATTAAGGCAAAGAATGCTAGGCATAGGTAGGTAAGCACAGCGAGAGATAAGACTTTCTTGTCGTGCTTGACAAGTCTTAATGAAAGGTTACAGAAAAGCTTGAGGGGGGAGCAATAGCATTGAGTGGAGCCAAGAGGAAGTTCATCAACATGGCCAAGATACTGCGCCTTGGTTGTGGCGGTCCCCTTTGTATGAGGTTTCTGGCTGGGATGGGGGATTGTGACTAACATAAGCATCTGACGGGGATAGCACGAGGATAGAAGAGCGAGTAATGAAGAGATTGGAACCTGGAATTGGTGTAACTATTGATGGATATCTGTCGGATTTGTAAGGGAACAAAGGGGCTTGGCGTTTTCGTGAAGGGGAATTGGGTGTTTCGTTGTACATGCTAGGTAGGTAGGTAGGTAGGTAGATAGGTATGTGGTGGTATCATCTATCATATCATCATATCCGGGTCGATTGTTGGTTGAATTTTGAGGAAGAATCGATGTAAATGGTTTCACATGAAGAGGGAGGGAGAGACGAGGCGAGACGAGAAGAAAAGAGAAGAGAGAGAATGTAACCTGTTGAATTCTTATTATTACCTGGTTGAATCTTACTGTGTACCTACCACCCATCCACCACCCATCCACCACCCACCACCCACCTACCTCTCTACCTCCCTGCCTCCCTACCTCCCTACCTCCCTACCTTCCACTTCTGATTTCCGCCCGCTACGGTTTGGGCCGCTTTGTAAGATCATCCTCCCCCGCCTTTACTGGTCTGCAGCTAGTGAAGGATAGGGTATAGCTTCAAGTACGAAATTTATATATGGTGGTATTCTTTTATTTTGTTAAATCCGATATTTCAAAATTTCTTATTTTGATTCATTTTCGGATCTCCCTTTGAAATAAAAGACAATTCGTATTCGCCCCCTGTTCCCCAATTGAAGACTCAGAATTGGGAAGATCATTCAAAATCTGGAACATATACATTTTTCATCAAGGTTCCCATCTACCGGTACTATCTCTTCATTCACTTCCACGTTCGCCCCCTTCACTTCAAACAGAAAGAGAAGAGAAGAAAAGAAGAAGAAGAAAAAGACCATCCTTCACTTGATAGGCGGGTGCACGTGTCAATTCTTTGTTAGTTTTTTAGGTGCAGTACATATTCCGTCCCTACCTTACTTCCGTACCGTTATTTTTGTACTAGTTTTCCGTCCCTCTTTTATTGAACATCTAGAACTTTTATTACGAAAAGGCTCCAGCAATTCATAATCCCCATACAAGCCATACACCCATACGCACACCCCCATTCCCAAATACCATACATACCATATCATATCATACCATCCCATCCCATATCATACCATGTACCAAGAATAAAAATAACACAACATCGATTCTCCACCTCCAACCCAAGTTCAACCCCTACACACAATCCAGTCCAACACAATCCAATCCAATCCAATACATAATACACAACATCTTTCAATCTGCAAGATTATCTTCTCTCAAGGAACACTACTTTTCAATAGATCAGTTGATGCATTCATCACTTTCTAACAATCTTCCCATCACCGCAGAACATTTCTATACTATCCTTCATATCACACGTACCAACGACCGGGGCTAAAGCAATGTCCTGAGTGCGAACCCAAAGATCATTCCAACAACCACAATGCAGTATCAAAAACTTCCTTGGTCATCAAGAAAGTTTCTAAACGGCTAGCCTCAAATCTATGAGCATTCATTGCTCTTGCCTTATTCGCATCTTGCAATTCCTACCGAGTACCTAGTTAGCTTCATTACATCACCGACGGAACCCTCGAAGAACAACAACAATACAATAAGTTTTCTTATCTGCCACTTCTTGAGCATCTGCAGAATTGCAAAGTCGATCAAACGCATTAGAATCATTACACATGGCGAATAAAAACATGTCACAGGAATCGGCAGCAGAGCAGGAGAGACAGGAGGTGCTCGCATTATTGCATTCGACCAATGCTAGACCCAGAGGCTCGGTGAGCTCCACCGGCTCGGGGCATCGAGCTGGGGGCGGGAGAAGTTTATCGCCATTTGCGAATATGACCAGGTCTCCTGTCCGCAGTATGTTAGATATTGATAGCGCTCCAGCAAAACCTCGACATTCGTCTATTGGTGGCACAAGTACAGGAAGCACTGCCCCAGTTCGAAGTATGCTTGATGTTAAAACGCCATTGACAGCGGCACCTGCTGTACGAAGTATGCTTGATGTTTCTTCTACTGCGCCCACAGCATCTGGTTCCAGAAGTGCGCAGGCTTCCCCAACAACGATGAATCATAAGGCGCATGCCAAAAATGGTAGACAATCAAGGAGTTCGTCAGATGCAGCAGCAAAATCTACCATCGAATTTGGACCTAGAGCAATCACCAGGGTCGACCCTAACGAATATCAATTCTCTGGCTATCTACCAAGTAACCCGGGCGGTCCTTCGGTCCCGAAACGCAATACGCAAGCAGGAAAAAGGATTACGAATTCAATGGCAGAGGTAGTAAGATCCGGCGTAGATCTTAGCGGCTTTGGAGGTGGGCGTGATAGGGAAAGACACAATTCAATCGGAAGTGCTAGTGGCATTGCGGCGAAATCAAAGTCGCCTCACAATCGGTTTTCCCCACGTTCTAGTTCCCCTGTTCCCACAGATCCTTCGAAATATGCCGTTTTGGACAATGGCAAAGTTATAGATGTCAATAGTGCTTATCAACGATTGTCGGATGCTAATCTTGCGCGATCGAACGGAGAATTATCCATGTTAAGTCAAAAGAGCAAGCAAAATCGGCCAGATAATGAATACTTCGATATCAATGGACCTCGACTGAACAAAGACTATGTGCCAATGGAAGGCGAGGAATCCGTCGTTGACAGCACGGATGAATCGGACGATGAAGGTCCAAGAGGGCGCAGAAAGAAAGCGAGAAGTGTAGATGGAGACGATTCCGAGCGAGAAAACAAAACTTTGGGAATGGGGCAAGCGAAAGGTCCAAGAACACCTTTAAGTCAAATGGCTGCTGCTGAGGCAGAACGTACGTATAATATACCCTCAACATTGTGTCAAAAACTCACAAATTTCATAGGACAAGATGTCGTGGCCAAGGAAGCTTTGAATGAGAAGTACAAAGTTAAATCACTTCTTGACCCAGAAATCACCTTGACGGGACCTGCTGGACACAAACCAAATAAGCCTGCGGTACATCCGCATACGAGCTTCGATCCGGACGGCTCTGGTGAACCTAGTCCACATGACTCAGACACTGAAGCAGATCGCGGCGACGTTAAAAAGGCTCAAAGTCTTTCACTGACCATGACTGCAATAAGATCCACGCCAACGACATCACGCTGCGTCCGTACAATACACCGTGGAGATTTCAAGAAGGTTCAGCAAGAAGCCCGCGAGAACCAACGCCGTACCAGAAAGTATCTTGTCGCAACAGATCTCAGTGATGAGGCAGCACATGCTTTGGAATGGACTATTGGGACAGTATTGAGGGATGGCGATACAATGCTTGCTATCTATTGCGTTGATGAAGAGCTTGGAATCATAACTCCTGATAACAGTGGAGATGATGCCCAGATCAAGCAGCAAATATCTGCTATTGCTTCGGCTCAACGATCTGCTAGAGCATCTCGTTCCAATACCCCCTTACTGACGCCTAGTCTAGGACCGGGTCAACTAAATCACAGCTTCAGATTAGATCCGGGCAGTAGAGCGGCCAGTCCAATGGGGAGAGACTCGAGAAGCAAAGCCGAACAGGATCGATTCCGAGCCGTAGAAGATATCACGGATAGAGTATCGGATCTTCTAAGGAAGACGAAGCTGCAAGTACAAGTAAATATCGAAGTCCTTCATTGTAAGAATCCTAAGCACTTGATCACCGAAGTCATCGACTACATCAACCCAACTCTAGTTATATTGGGGAGTCGTGGGAGAAGTGCTTTGAAGGGGTATGTTTCCAATTCTATCAACACTCTTCAAGAAAACCGAAAGCTAATAATGGGCAGTGTCATTTTGGGATCATTCTCTAATTATCTGGTTACAAAATCATCAGTCCCCGTCATGGTTGCTCGAAAACGTTTACGAAAACATAACAAGCAGAAGCGCACTCCTCACATACGTCTCGCAAACAATCTTACCAATCCACTAGTCAAATCTTTGGCCAGTGCGAAGATTGACTGATCAAGTAGAAGATGTGATTTTTATTTGAGGCAGGTGGCGTTTGGCTGACATTGCTCTTTTTTTTGCTTTTTCTCTGTTTTGACTGCTGGAGTGATGCGGTGCACACACATGCGCTTCTACTGTACCTGCCAATGCGGCATTAACTCTCTAAATTTTGTTAGGAGAGCTCGGCGTTTATGGAATCGGGATGGAATTGAAGATATGGGACATCGGGTGGCGATTGCAAATATGGCTTGGGAATCTGTGACAAGGGACTTGCGAACGAATACTGAGTATTCAACACACCACTCTTTAGCGAATCTTTTCTTCCTCGTGAATGAGGAATGCGGAACATGGTATGGAAATCGGAATGAGATAGTGAGTAGCTTAATAATTGGCCCAATTAATCATGCATAAAAAAGATCGCTTTCAAGATTTTCATTCGGAAAAGATGAATTGGCCCTTGCTCATTGTGTCAAGCTCGAATTTCTTCACACTTTCAAGGTGGATGGGTAGTCGGCCCATAAATCTATAGTGAAATCTGAAAATTCAAGAGCGATAATATCTAGGTATATGATTCTTTTAAGGGGTTTTAATTCTTTCTTGAAGCTAGCCAGCTAAACACAAATTGCAACATTCAAAGCACATACAGTAATAACATCTAGCCATACACAATCAACCATCCATCAATACAGCACGACTCCATCTAGCACAATCATTGCATACCCGAAAACATTCTCTGGAACATACCCTCCAGCCTTCCCGCTGGATTCGTGTCACGTTCTGGCAAGCCACAGGATTTAGCCACAAACCCATATTCGTGGTCATTCCTGCATATTTTCAATTGCTCAATCTCTTCCTCCATACAGTTCATAAACTCGCCATCGCCAAAAATCTCATTTTGGGCGTGTGCATATTCGAATACTTTCTCCAATACTGCTTCGACCTTGTTCTCAAGGGTACCGCCCCATTGGAGATAATTGCTGGTTGCGGGTGGCCATTCTCTCGCTTCTTCCCATACTTTCAAAACATTTTTTCTCGTGGGGGGCTTGTTGGCTTTCAGGCATGTCGCGATGTAATTGAACATATTAGCGAAACCTTGACGGAGTGATTTGTTTGTCTTGAAGTTTTGCTGGAGACCTGGATGAACGTGCTCGATAAGGCCTTCTTGCAACCATAACCAATCGACGCCGTCATCTCCGAGACTCATATGGATCGAATCATTCAGACTGTCATAATGTGTTTCAGCTTGGAAAAGAAGTGCCAGCTTCATACGCGGCGATAGAAACCCTCCAATGCATTCCCCACAGGTGCATCCACATTTAAGCTGTAGTAAGAGCTGAGTATCCGATAGATTAGTAGGCATCGATCCGGTCAGTAGTACAAACTGGCAGCTGGTAGCGTCGGAAGTGAAGCCAGAAAAGTTATCTGAGATGACGACTGTCATCATCCCATGCTCGCGTCGTGTTCTGATGACGTTGAGTTTATACTGTAATGCTTCGATAGGTGTATATCCGTCGATATTACGAGCCGATGTCAACTGCTTGTCGTTCACATTATCCATTAGCCACTGTACGCTTTGGGGTTTAAACTGGCATGCCGTGATATGTAGCAAGGTGTTGTTGAGACTGTCAACTTGCTTCCACTCCTTTTCATCTTTGACATGGAATGTCTTGAAGAATTTTACGAGCTCAATATCAGGAAGAGAAACAGCCGCGAAGTTCAAGGGTGTCAGTCTCTCCTTTAATTTCTTTAGTCTCTTTTCTTCCAGTTCCTTTTGGTAAGCAGATGTACGAAAGCTTTCTTCTTCACCAGGCATTGTGATTATTATCGCCTCCGGTTCTTCTGCAGGTGTTGATGGTGGCTTTGGCGGATCGAAATCGTCCTGAATTGCGAGTGAATGAGACTTATGATCCGGGTCGGATGATAGACCAAAACAGCTCGAAGCACCAATTCTTCGAAAGCCAAGGGAACGATGAAATGAGATAGCAGAATCGAAAGCTCGAGAGCTAATCTCACGCTGTTCGAGTTTAGATTTACCCTCACATTGAGGTTCGACGTCATGGCGAAGACAACCAGGCATCGAGATTGTGTGAATTTTCGCACGACGCTCTCTTTCCTTATTTCGTCCAAACCAGAACATGTCTTCTAACATGTTGTCTTCCGTAGTACTTGAATGGGATGGCTTGTGTAGTCCTTCTGCCTTCTTGACGAGGTCACCAATCATGGCTCGTCCTAATCCCTTTCGTCTGTATTCCCTTTCAGTCACGTCAATATGCTCCAGTATAAATAGTGAGCCAAAATCTAACTCATTTCCCCATACACCTGTACCCTTTTGCACACAATGATTCTTGAGGTGACTATTGAGGTATCCATAACGGTCGAAGAGCTCGAATGCAATCAAAGACAACTCTCTGCTTGGGGCTTCCATATCGCTCCAGAAGTTTTCTCTAATTTCTTCCCGGCAGATGTATTGACCGAAGGCATGGCCAATTCGTTTGCCATCGACGGTGCAGTGGACATGAATCATGTGAAGCCAATCTGCAACCTCTTGATCCTTCGTCACAAAGAGTCTCAATTTGACTACTTTATCCGTACCATCCTTCTGGATAGTAATTCCGCGCTCCTCGACTCCATGTTGACGAACCTCCGAATCTTCATCTTCATTTTCATACGAGTATTCGTCTTCAACTCCATCATCATTTCCATCAAACTCATCCTCTGAAGTTTCTTCGGTCATTCCAACATTTGATTCTCCGGCGTCAGAAACAGTAGGCTGATGATAATTGTGATCAACATCGACTTCGCTTCCACTTGTGGCAACTGCGAGAAGTTTAGTACTTAAGAACTGTACGGATCCTTTTAATCCAACTTACTCAACTCATCAGATACCAAGACATTTACGTCTTCGACTATCTTAGATTTCTTTGCCACTGTGTTTGTGACTGCGAGACCAGTAACAGGAGCCGATAAGTCTGTAGACGTATCGATCTCAGCATCAGACTTGCGCTTTCGAGGAACTGCAATCGACGAGTCGGTCATAATGGATGTGGATATGAAGTTTTGCGTTCTCTTTCAGGTCATAGAATCTTACAATACACCACTTGCGATGAGGTGACAATCAGTTGTTGTCAATAAGAAAGAGGGTTAAGAATTCGGAAGTTCAACGTTGAAGGTGAAGTGTTTATACCTCAAGCTTCACTGCCAGCATCCATAATAGGCAAGAACCATATTAAGCACGTGCAAGCAATGATGCGCCATATGGACCGATTCTCAGTACCACCTAGTAGTTGCCCTTCAAGCACTTTCATACTAGGCATTCATCTGCATCTCTCCAGTGTACCAGGTAAGGCATTGTCCGATTTAATTTTATAACAAAAAGCCCGAGATTTACCATCTTTCCTGAAGCAGAAAATTGGAAACTTTGTCGCTCCGATTGAGAACCACTCAAGGAAGTCACACATGTTCAAACTTCTTGAGGACTCATTCGCTCAACAGACATACAAAAGCTGTGGCAGTGCAGCTCATGCTTGAGTACATTGTATGGCATATATTGCACTTACTGCACCCCTTCAATTCTTCTTTGTTGAAGTTTTTTCAATCATACATGTCGCGTCCCGTACGTTGGCAAACAAACATCTGTGGCGGAAGTTTGCTTCAACATCACGGGGCTTGGCGCTGAATCTATACTGTATCTACCCAACACAGTGAATTTCGTACATGTCTCGTCAAATATTCACTCACGGTAGTAGCGTTCTTTGATCTATTTCCGTCGTGCTTGACAATCTAGCGTTTCATGTTCAAGGTACAGATTCCTAGAACTGTAAAATCCTGAAAAGAACTCTTTCAGACCTATCCCATTCAAATTTCATGAAAATACAACACATCTCCAATAACCATCAATCATGTCGGATTTTCCGACAAAAGCTCATGGAAAGCGGAAGGCTAGCGGTGAAAGTTGTGCTTCGAATTTGCAGCCATCCGATCTATCCAAGAAAACAAAGATTGATAGTTCGGAGAAGATTTGTAAGTTGCAATTCAGTCATCGTTGTGTTTTGTCCCGGAGTTCTAACTGACTTGCTTACCTTCTAGTTTCCACAGAAGAAGGTGCATCGCCTATGAATAGTGAGAAAAAGTTATAGATTTAACGATCGAGCGCTCTGCTTCACGACTTTTTTCTTCGCTGGTGTCAGAGTTGGCCCTTGAAGAGTTTGATGATAAAGAATATTGATCAGGAGCAAGAATTAGCACTGGCTCGAAACATCGAGTGGCTTACTCCGCTGGAGGCCTTGCAGGATGAATTCGATATCTTTGACAAGATCGTCGGTTTTCCACTCCAAGCTATCGCTTGCTTGTCTTTATTGAAATACAGATATCTGCCCAGCTCTCCTCTAAACACCCAAGCTCTCAGACTAAAGTTTGGGTGCACTTGTGGGGAATGCATTGAAGGTTTCGTGTCACCCCGCATGAAGCTAACACTTCTTCATTGCGCTGTGACAATTACAGAGTGCATCAATTATGATCCGTCTTTTTTCAATAGATCTTTGTACAAACCTAATTTCTCAATCGGCGTTCCCAAGGATCCAATGAAAACCTTTTGGCAAAAAAGCCACCAGCTAAGGATCATTAAGTTGTTCGGCCCCATTATTAGGGTGCTAGACTCCAATTGCGTGCCTAGGGTACACAACCTGAAGACTCTTTCTGCAACGTATAATAATGTTGATGACGATGATCTTGAAGCTGCATTGGCAATGACAATTGCATATGCTGAAGAAAACTTTGTAGAAGATTGTGATCATTCATTCTTACACGATCTCGTTGACGAGATAGGGGAAGCGAAAGAATGCAAAAATGACTACGAGTTCGGCACGGCCCATCGGCAGTGCTGTTGGAACTTGTCCAAGAAAGGCTAGTAGCAGGAAGTATAGGTGCCGAAGAGACTCTCGGTGCAGAATTGCGAGCAAAATTTGGATATGTAGCTTCTGTGAGCATATCTGGCTATTGACAAATGCAAGATGGGACCCTTCAACCTAGGTGATCTATTTCAAGGGGTTCTTTCTTGCATATCACTTGGGAAATGATGGGAAATTGTTTTCGGGTGTAGATAGCAAGACTGGAATGACACCAGTCCGGGAATTTTCTAAGCTAGTTAGCATAGCTAGCTAGTTACCCCCTCATCGACTTCGAGATAACTGAATATCATCAATCATCTTGAAAACAATGATTCTCAATAACTTCTTCTGTACAACTTTGTGACTCAACGACTGTATCACGTATATCGACATGCACATTACTCGATATCGAACAGAACACAAGACGATTTTAGCTTCCCTTCGCACCCTCCCAACTCCCCACATCAACATAAAACTCCCTCAGATCATACACCTTCCCCCTATAGCTACCTCTTCTCCGTTCTCATCCATACTACTCTCCACTGATGTAGACAAACACCTCGATCCGAAAGCCTACCCATTCAATTCATGTTCCACCATGCCTCCCCAACTCCAAAGACCAAAGCAAATCGCCAAGCTGTACTCCACCAATAATACCACACCTCCATTTCCATCTCGCAGACCATCGCGACCCGATGAATAAATTCACCGCCCACACTTTTCAAACGCTTATTTCGCAGTATCAACTTACCTATTCAATCTTTGAATTATCCTGCCACTTAGCGATTGTATATAACCAACCTAGTTTATCATTTTCGTGTCAACTATACACTATTTCTGAATACTCAAGAATCTCACTCGAAATCGGATATCGAATTATTGTGTCCCCCTATTATTCAGCCGAGAGCGACTCATTTTTGGCCAGAAGTATAACAATCGGCATACCATAGTCCAAATCAAACTAGCATACCTCACTGTATAAATAATTTTAATCACAAGTGAAATACAACAGCGTCGCACACGCGCTTATAATCCTCACAACATCCACGTAGCTCAAACAGTCATGATTAATTTGCAATGTTTTTTTTTTTTTTGATTTCTTGTTTACTCCCCCAACCACTTATCTTATCTATGATAGAACCCTAATCTAATTCTGTTCACGCTGTCACATTCCCAATCCATGCCCACCCAGAAAACTGAATTGCCATGCCAATACCCCTCATTTCATATTCGCCATCCATTCATTATTAAAAGAAAAGGTGAAGAACCCATGAAGGTTGTCGCCATCAGGTCAAATCGAGCAGATGGACTGAAGATAGTCATAAAAAAGCAGAAAGAAATTAAGGTTTGTTGTTTATTCCCTCCATTGCCAACTAGCCACACCTTGCAATAACATTTTAATCGTTAGAAGCGTAGGTAATTTTCAATGAGAAAAAGAAAATTGTACCTCCGTCGAGTAGTGCAAGAGTCGTTGAGCACAAGAGTAATCTATGAGTACATGTAATTGGTTGAAATATTTGCCCTTCCATAAGATGAAGAATAGAAGATAAATATTCATTGACCATAAGAAAAATATCGTTCCGTGTGTGAAGAATGCGATAAAAAGTAGGACCGAAATGTTGCCACCAAAGCATAAATAACTTTTCCGGAACCGTACCGTAGCAGAAGAGTTGGACAAGACGCCAAAGTAAAGTGTAGAAAAAGAGTCATTAATGGCAGAAGAGAGTGGGCAATTAAGCCTTCTCTTCAGCCTTCTCGTCACCCTCCTTGGCCTCACCAGCCTCGCCTTCACCTTCACCTCTGTTCTTAACATACTCGTCGTAGACAGTGAGTGCCTCGTCAACCTTAGCGCGGAGAGAAGCATCATCTTCGATACTACGAAATTGTTAGTACGACGATACCTGTAGGGCTGAAAGCTCCCTGATTATTACTTACAGATTGATCAACTCCTGGTTCTCCATCTCCAACAACATTCCGGTAATCTTGCCAGCCAATTCAGGTTGCAAAACTTGGATCTTAGGGAACAAAGCCTCTCCAAGAATTTGCTTCTGTTGCTGAGGAGCAACGGCTTGAACTTGAGCTTGCAACATAGTAGCTGGAACACCACCCTCTTGGGCCATCTGAGGAATTTGTTGCATTCCCGGAATCTGTTGTGGCATACCACGACCAGCTTGTGGAGGGAATCCACCAGCGAATTGGCCAGGACGTCCAGCTTGAGCACCACGACCAGGCAGACCGCCTTGTCTAGCACCTTGTTGGAATTGTGGCATTCCTTGTTGACCCATAGGCATAGCCATGTTTGGTGGCATACCTTGCATTGGCCCACGTGCATTTGGTCCACCACGGCCGGCAGTGAGTTGTGCAGCTTGCATGGCAGCTAAGAATTGTGGGTTGTTTTGCTGAGGATATTGACCGCCAGCAGGGAATTGGCCTGGGCCCATACCGTACATGTTAGGTGGCATTTGTTGACCAGCTGGTGCACCACGACCAGCTTGTTGTGGAGGGAAACCAGCTTGGAATTGACCAGGTCGGCCTCCTTGAGCACCTGGAATTGGCATGCCAGCTTGGGGTGGGAATTGCATGCCACGTCCACCTTGGGGAAGGAAACCTGGTTGTTGAGCTCCTGGAGGGAAGAACATTGGAGCTTGCATGTATTGTTGAGGCATACCAGCTTGAGCAGCGGCTTGCTGCATGCGGATTTGGTTACGAGCTTGAATGCTGGCTTCCAATTGACTCTTACGGACATCCTTGCGCTGAGCAAGAGCGACGTAAAGTGGCTTGTTGTTGACCATGCGCTGGTTCATATCAGAGACAGCCTTGGTAGCCTCATCTGGGTTGTTGAAGCAAACGAAACCGAATCCCTTGCTCTTACCCAAAGAGCGCTTTGCCTTTGGTGCAGAGGCCTCTTCAGTTTCAGCCTCGCCTTCCTTCTTGGTCTCCTTAGCGTCCTTGTTTTCTTTGTTCTTCTCATCGTCCTTCTCCTTCTTCTCCTCAGCTTCGGCGGTCTCAGCAGGGGTATCACGCATGACCTTAGCGGAGGTAATGGAACCGAATGATTGGAACAACTCTCGGAGCTTCTCATCATCAATGTCATCATCTAAGTTCTTGACGTAGAGGTTGACACCTTGATATTTCGAAGCCTTCTCAATGCGAGCAGCTTCGTATGAACGGCGGAGCTCTTCCTCACGTTCATGCTTCTTCTGTGCACGGCCGACGTAGAGATCTTGACCCTTGAAGTCTTTGCCGTTAAGCTCATCAACAGCAGTAGCGGCATGTTCATGGTTGATGAAGTTGACGAAACCAAAACCACGGCTCTTGCCGGTTTCAGCATCGCGGGCAAGGGACGCTGAGGTAACATCACCGAACTTCTCAAACAACTCACGGAACTCCTCCTCGGTGGCTTCAACTGGGATGTTCTTGACGTAGATGTTGGTGAAGTTTGCCTTCATCTCCTCGAACTTGCTTTGACGGTCCTTCTTAGGGATGTGATGGCCAACGAAGACCTTCTTCTCGTTCAAAAGCATACCATTGACGTGCTTGATAGCTTGAGCGGCTGCCTCATCTGTCTCGTAGTGAACGAAACCATAACCCTTGGAAGCTCCAGACTCGTCTTGGGCAACCTTGCAACTCAAAATGTTTCCGAAAGCAGCAAAGGTGTCGTGGAGAGCCTTATTGTCAATGGCAACATCCAAGTTCTTGATGAAAACGTTTCCTTGACCGTTCTTTCGGAGAGCTGGATCACGTTGGGACCACATGATTCTGCATGGGCGGCCCTTGATCAAAGTGTAGTTGAGCTCTTCAAGAGCCTTCTCACCATCAGCGGTGGTATTGTAGTTGACGTAGGCATATCCGAGGGATCGGCGGGAAATAGCATCACGGCAAACACGAATGGAAGCAACGGAGCCAATTTGAGAGAAGAGTTCGAAAAGCATAGCTTCGGTGACGGATGTGTCAAGTTCACCGACGTAGAGGGAAGCCGAAGCTTGTGGGTGAGGGGCATTGGTGGGGGTAGGACCTGCGGCATCTTGGTCTTCGGAGTTGACGTTGGAAACATCGGTGTTGAGGGTAGCGGCGCCGTTTGCATCTCCATTCAAGGAAGCATTGTTAAGGTCAGAAGCGAGCTGGTCGACAGCAGCATTTTGAGTTGCGGCAGACATGTTGACTAAATTTTACTGAAAAATCGAAAAATTAGCCAGATGAACAAAAATCAAATCATTTTTTCCAAATCGAAAGTTACAACAATGAGCCGACAAAGGGAATGTTGAGAGAAGGCATAAAGAGAGAGAAAAAGGTATAAAAGTGGCATGGTTACCTTTATGTCGAGATGTGTTGTTCGAAGAGAGGGTCGAGGTTTGAGGAGGGGTAGAAATTCGTGAAAATAATTCTATACAGAACTAAGTATTAAATCGAAATACTGATGTCACACTGCCGTAAGACAAATGCACAATATGACTGACTTTTTGAGGTTGGAGATTTTATGTGCGGAAGGAAGGTGAAGGTATTTCGAAAATTGGTCGATAGAATAAGTATCGATCGCAATTCTGGGGTTTTCTGTAGTTTTGATTTTCAAATTTTTTTGTATCTCTAAAAGAAGAGGGATTTTCTAATTTGAAAAGGGCGAAGAAGAACGAAAAAAGCACGAAGTATTCGTACTTAAACCGCTATTGTAAGATCTTTTCGGTGGGTTGTTATTTTTTTTGTGGTTGTAGAAGGAAGGGAAGGAGATTTCTTGAGATCACAATCGCGACAGATAAAACTCAATCTTTTTTCGAAATTTCTGTGCGTAGACTAACTAAGCTTTATTTGGCTTAGCTTGACCACTTGCTGATGGGTAAGTGAAAGAAACCCTCATATGATTCGCTACAGCTGATTCATCAAGTGAATGATCAAGAGGATTATGTAATCCATGGATATCTAATCTGTCGAAAAAGAAGGACAGGAAAGATGCTCCGTAGGTATTACATTGATAGTCGGCTCTTCAAGGGGCCGACGAGTTCCTACCGAACTGAAAAGGCGTTTATTATATACACACCTAGGTGGTCAGTAGTAGTGATTAATCTTGTGTTCCAAGTTGTCAGGAGAGAAAGCATTATTCAGTACAAATATGTAATTTGACGCTCCCCTTGGCCACTGCCGTGGAGGCTTTCTCGCTTCGCTCTAGTATGAAAGAGCAAGAACGTGCCGGAATGGTGTCTAGGTATCTAGTAGGTAGATAGGGAGGCATCTTCTCCAAGTCACCAGAAAATTGATAGATTCAAACGCAGAGAGGACAGG